GCCAAAGAAAGATAAAATCAAGCATTGCATTTAGCCCGGAAATGACTTTAAACTTTATGTTCTCGGGATGAAACATCATCATGCTGAACTCAACAGTCCAACTGCTTGTTAACATAAATTTCTAATCCGCCAATAACATGGCAGCAACTTATTGTATTCAGGCATGGTCAAGACGATCTGCTGCAGTTCAAATCAATCATCAGAATGGAGAAGAAAGGTGATTTAAGTGACTTTGAATGTGGCATGGTTGTTAGTGCCAGACGGGCTGGTCTGAGTATTTCAGAAACTGCTGATCTACTGGGATTTTCACGCACAACCATTTCTAGGGTTTACAGAGAATGGTGTGAAATAGAGGAAATATCCAGTAAGCTGCATTTCTGTGGGTGCAAATGCCTTGTTGATGCCAGAGGTCAGAGGAGAATGGCCAGACTGGTTCCAGCTGATAGAAAGGCAACAGTAACTCAAATAAGCACTTGTTGGAACCGAGGTCTTCAGAAGAGCATCTCTGAACACACAACACGTCCAACCTAGAGGCGGATGGGCTACAGCAGTAGAAGACCACACCGGGTGCCACTCCTGTCAGCTAAGAACAGGAAACAAAAATTGGACAATAGAAGATTACAAAAACCTTGCATGGTCTGATGAGTCTCGACATTCAGATGGTCGGGTCATAATTTGGCATCAACAACATGAAAGCATGGATCCATCCCGCCTTGTATCAGCGGTTCAGGCTGGTGGTGGTGGTGGTGTAAGGGTGTGGGGGATGTTTTCTTGGCACACTTTGGGCCGATTAGAACTAACTGAGCATTGTGTCAACGCCACAGCCTACCTGAGTATTGTTGCTGACCATGTCCATCCCTTTAGGACCACAGTGTCTCCATCTTCTGATGGCTACTTCCAGCAGGATGGCACACCATGTCATAAAGCGGGAATCATCTCAGACTGGTTTCTTGAACATGACAATGAGTTCACTACTCAAATGACCTTCTCGGTCAGCAGATCTCAATCCAATAGAGCATTTTTGGGATGTGGTGGAACGAGAGATTCGAGAAAAAAAGTCCCCCAAAATTAAGAAGGCATGGAGGCAGTGGTTTTTCTAACCTTTAATCCTATAATTTTTTCATATGTAAAGATATTTGTGTATTTCTGGACGTCCTGTGTGTATCAGGAAATGAACCTGCATAGGCACATATAACTAATGCGCTTTGCGCTGGATATTAGACCTGATTTTAGTTGGTCAACGGCGCAGTCTATTTTAGTTCTTCAAAATAGCAACACACCATGGGCCTTAACACACCTCTATGTTAGACCAGCACACCCATGAGTCAACAAAGTGGCGCAAATGGATTTGCTATTTAAACAACTTGCTGCAAAACAGTAAAATTACTGTTACACTGGTCTGAAAATGGGCGAAGCAGTGGCGCAGTAGGTAGTGCTGTCGCCTCACAGCAAGAAGGTCGCTGGTTCGAGCCTTGTCTCAGTTGCCGTTTCTGTGTGGAGTCTGCATGTTGTCCCCGTGGGTGCTCCGGTTTCCCCCGCAGTCCAAAGACATGCGGTACAGGTGAATTGGGTAGGCTAAATTGTCCATAGTGTATGAGTGTGTGTGTGTGGATGTTTCCCAGAGATGGGTTGCGGCTGGAAGGACATCCGCTGTGTAAAAACTTGCTGGATAAGTTGGTGGTTCATTCCGCTGTGGCAACCCCAGATTAATAAAGAGACTAAGCCGACAAGAAAATGAATGAATGAATGAATGAATGAATGAATGGTCTGAAAATAGCAATAAATCATGCCAAACACATATTGCACCAGGTGTCTGATAGGACCCTCTCACCTTGCATGTGCAAGTCTGCAGCTAGATACAATTGTCTGTGTTTGGACTGGTAATCTTCCTCTGTTGAATTTGGTTTGACAGATTCAGCCTCAGCATTCTGAAGCCCTCTTATTGTTAGTTTGCCAAGAGGAAATGATGCACAAAAAGCAAGCCCCACCCCCTCATCAATACTCAGATTTAGTTTGTAGATACATCAACATACCGAAATAAAAGTCACTTCCAGTTCACACAGCCTTTTAACTCCAGTTCTAGGAACAGTGCTTATAGTCTTATCAGACAGATCACGAACTGAACTGAGTGTGTCAGATAAGATGGACACTCAAAAGGTGCAGAGCAGTCCTTAGCGCCGTTGTTAAAAACCACTATGCTGGACCAATTCCTCTTTATCTAATTTCATTTCTGGTTCCTTAAAGCTTTTCTGCATCTTTAAAATGCCTTCCGGATATCTCAGACAAAATGACAGAAAGAGTTCTCACTTTACCACAATTAATGCAATTGTTAAATATCGGTCAAATCTGTACCTCCCCTGTTTAGTAATTAGTGCTTAAACTATTCGGCTTCCTGTGTGCTCACGACTGCGTTAGTTTTGCTTTCATTATTCGGAACTTAAGTGCAATCTAAATGCCTCAAAAAACTAACAATTCAATTATTATAGTACAACTTTTCTTTTATCATAACTCAATAATCATGCCTGCCATTATATGAATTTGAACCCTATCACACATTAAAACTTGTAAATGTCTAAAGTTACACAAATGACTGTGTGGCCATCGAGAATGAGGTATGAAACCACAGCTTAGTGGAAAACATTTTAGTGGTTTTGTGCACCGTTTATACTCAGACCGTCTGCAAAATTAAAAGAAATGAAAAAGCAAGATGTGTCTGCTTGGTCAGTGTTCGCTTTCTCTTTGTAAGAGTTTAAAAGACATAACCGTAAGACAGGAGCTATTTATTGAGATGTATCGTGAGTGTGTAAAAATATCAGATGAGGTGTTGCAATTTTTTCATGCTTGCACATTAACACACGAGTGACTTTGTCATTCACACTTTGTCTTTTGCACCTCTCTTCCTTTTGGTCTGTTTTCTATTGTACTAGCCATACTTCTTCTTTTAGTTCCGCCCATTCGTTTTTAATGAGCTTCACTTTGCAAAACAGTTTGTTGTTAATTCTGAAGAAAATGATGGTATGAAATGTATTAGTTATTTGAATATCTTCTTTAGAATACAGACTTATGCATACATTTAGCATGTGGAAGATAACATGAATGTCTATTTTCTTAATTTTGTCTGTTGCAAATGCCAACTGAGTGTCTTACTGTATCTGTTATTAAGTAAAGATGCATGTTGTAAGGCATGGCTCTTCGTGTTCCTCTTTTAAACGCACATTCAGAAGGCTTTAGCTTGCATTATTCTTGTGAAACAGTCATTGAAATGGCTTTATCAATACATTTGACAAATGTACAACACGGAACAGTCAAATGAACACTTTGGCCCTATCATACACCCTGCGCAAGATGTGAATGGCACAATTTGTTGTTATTTTCGGACCATTCATTCACTTTCTTATCAACTTAGTCCCTTTATTAATCTGGGGTCGCCACAGCGGAATGAACCGCCAACTTATCCAGCATATGTTTTACGCAGCGGATACCCTTCCAGCTGCAACCCATCTCTGGGAAACATATATATATATATATATATATATATATACACACACACAAACACACACACACATCCTTGTCATCTGTCTGTCTGCACTGCAAGAATGCCTTTCCTACTAAGAATTTGTCTCGTTTCTAGTCCAAATATCTAAAAATTCTTAAATCAAGAAGCATTTTCTAGGACCACATATTTTTTATTATTTTCCGAAAAAATAAGTTCAAATTAAATGAGTTTTAACACACTACAGTGCTTTCAAGTGCTCACAGCTTTACATGTGTGCGCAGCTATATATATATATGTGTGTGACCTGCGGTTGTTTAAAAGCCTTTAAAAGGTCAAAGGTCAGATGGTGTTTCTGACAGCAGTGCACGCTGTAGATTCTGACTTTTCTTGCTGTGGATTCTCTTCTCTTGCTTGCATTGCTTCTTATTTAGTCATCCCCGTGCAGCATTTACATTATTTCCACTGAAGCACACTGAATTGACTCCACAAACACATGCACAGGCTACAGTATTATAGATCCCAGTGGGGACTGTCATAGACAAAATGATGTTTCTACCATACAAATCTTATACTGTTTCCTCCTACCCCTGAACCAAACTCTTACAGAAAACAATCTGCAGTTTCACATGTTTAAAATACTTCATTCTGTGTTATTTATAAGAATGTTCACCTATGGGGAACTCAATTTTGGTTCCCATGTTGACACAAGTCCCCATGAATCAGTATGCATTCAGGTTTAAGTCCCTACAAGAATATAAAAACAAGTACACAAGCACACACACACACACCACTTTCCTGTCTGTCTGCACTGCAAAACATGCTTTTATTACTGTCTCATTTCTAAACCAAATATCTAAAACTATTAAATCAAGAAGCATTTTCTAAACAAGTAAAACATAATATATAAATATTTAAAAATATTAATATTTTTATTTTTAGAAGCAATCAATTTAAAGAAATTGGTTTTTACCTTAAAACAAGTTAAATAATCTGCCATCGGGGTGTGCAAAATCTTATTTTAAACACAAAAAAACAAATTACTGACCCCTGCATTGGCAGATTATTTAGCTTTATTTAAGGAAAAAAACTAACTTAGCTTTGGCTTATTAATTATAGAAACAAAACTATGGTTTTGATACGTGTATCATGTATTAATGCTGCACACGCCAGATTTCACGCTCATGTTTGGATTTACTAACGATGAAATGAACAAACTTTTTTTTTTTTTTTTTTTTAGATATTTGGAGTAGCAACAAGACACAAATTTGAAGTAAGAAAAGCATTTTTTTGCAGTGTGTCTCCCTCGCTCTCTGTCAGGCTGGGGAATGTTGCCACTCGTCTCGAGTGTCGGGATGGAGCTAATTTTAGCAGGACAGCTGAATGTGAGGGGTCATAATGCAGGATAAAACCAGTGGGCAGTCGGACATTCGTGGTCTGAGCCAGAACTTTTCTTCTCTCTCTCTCTCTCTTTCTCTCCCTCGCTTGAAGGCTCGCACCATTTTGTCTGTTCTCCTTTCAGCAACAGAGGTAAGAAATTATTTTAAAATACTACATTCATTCTGTACAGGAATTGAGGTCAATTATGGTGGATTCGTTAGCACAAAATAAAAGAAGAAGACGGAGGAGGAATCAAGATATATTTATCCTTCCTGGTTTCTACATTTCCAATAAAACACAGACAGGAACCTTTTTTTGTAAAGCAGAAGTTGTCATCATCAGAACTGCAACAGACGTCTTATAATGTCTTGCAAAAGGCTGACCTCTGCTTCTGACTGTAGGTTTGAAGGTTTATGTGCAATTTACTTTTAATGCAAGATGTACACTTGCATATGCTACTTATATTTATTACAAAATTTCTTTTACAAAACCTTCTTTCTTTTATACTTTATGAATGATCTATTTTTCATTGGTAATTTTGAAGTTAACTTAATTGTTTTTACAAGTTTAAGTTGATTGAACATAAAACATCCAAGTTATCCCACAAAAACAAGAATTGTGTTGATTCAGCTCATTATAAATAAAAAGTAGTTTAAACAAGCAACGAAAATCTAAAATTATAGTCAAATATCCCAAAGCCATCACTTTTGAACATGTTTTTGTCAAAACATAGTTAAAATTTGTAATAATAAAAACTGACAATAGTTTAATCCAACACAATCTCACGGCAATTCGTAACTTTTTCATTTAGTGGCTAATTCGTACAAATTCGTACGATCTAATTCGTACATTTTAGTACGATTTGCGTATCCCCCAATGACGGTTGGGTTTAGGGGTGGGGTTAGGTGCCACGCCTCCTTTTTAAAATCGTACATTTTCTTACGACTGAACTCGTACGAATTCGTACGAGTTAGCCACTAAACTACCAAAACGTAAAATACTTACGTTTTCTCGTGAGATCAGGCTGTTTAATCTTGTATAAATGTCCATGTAAATGTGGTAATAGCATATTTTACTGTATTTTGTGAAACAATTTTTAAAATCACAGATTAAATATTTCATTTTTATTATTCCATGATAGTTACAAAACTTTGATATTTCATTTTTATTATTGCATTATTATTATTATTAATTTTTTTTTTTTTTTTATTCCATGATAGTTAGAAAACTTTGATATTTCATTTTTATTATTGCATTATTATTATTATTATTATTATTATTATTATTATTATTGTTATTATTATTATTATTCCATGATAGTTGCAAAACTTTGATATTTCATTTTTATTATTGCATTATTATAATTATTGTTAATTTTATTATTATTATTATTATTATTATTATTATTATTATTATTTCATTTTTATTATCCCATGATAGTTGCTTACTTCAGTCACTTCTGTGTATATATGTGTATGTCGTGTATGATGTGTATGTTGTATGATGTGTCGTGTATGATGTGTATGACTTCACTGTGGTTGGCAAAGTAAAAATTTCATTGTACAGGGAAACGTGTTTCCTTACTGTCCACATGACAATAAACAATTGAATTAAATTGAATTTAATTGAATTGAAAACAGGCTCATTATAGAGACTCTCGGACATTTCTAGAGACTGCGAATTATGTAGCTGGAGATACGTATGGCTGCATTTCATTTTTTAAAGCAAACACTACGGTACTACGGCAGTATTACGCCGTTCTTTTTCATGCTTACCTCTGTGTGGAGGGCTTTCCCGCTGCAACCAGTTTGTCCAGTTAGCTCGACGACCAGGTTCGAGTCCAGGGAAGAGCATTTCCAGAAATCAGGTAAGACAAAAACAGAATCCAAAAAATAAAATGAACAAGTGAATAACGGTGAGAATGTGGTAAAATCCGGAAACGTGGTAAAAATCAGACGAGGGCTTTTCTTTTTCTGGACGGCTTTTGGAAACCCTCGGTTGGGTTTAGGGAAGGAGGAGGGTGGGTCAGTCGATTGGTGTGTCGCACAGTCAATCATTCAGTCAGTCAGTTTGACAGCGGCCTCTGGTGGGTTTACGCGAGAACAGCACGGGTGCGAACGGCACTTGCGAGAGACATTTGAGATATGAAAAAGTGCACACAGCGGCCTCTCGTGGATTTGCGAAAACAAAAACTGCAAAAATACGTACTTTCAGAAACGTCCACAGGACTACGTTTTCAGAATGAGCCTGGGTTGGATATTTCAGATGCTGTATTTTACCAGGGTAAACAGAAATAAACTTTCAAAGTGGCTTGAAAGTGATGTAATTATAAAACCTCTAAATTTCCCAATTGCTAAACTTTATTTCAGTGAAACATGCTCACTGTGAAAAATGCAGGGTCCACACAATTCATTCATGTTGTCTCAACACAAATCGATTAAGTCAACACAACAAAGTTAAGTAGATTGAACATATATTAAGTTGTCCCAAAAAAAAATCTCCAGTTCCCAGTTTTTCAAAAGTGGGATTTTGGATCACAGATTGGAAATGGGTTTTTCAAAAGTAACAGGGGAATTTTGAATTAAGATCAGAGCATGTGATCCAATCTTATATTAAATTTAGATCAAACCTGCCCTTTGGGTTATTCAAAACTTTGAACTCATATTGGGGTCTGTTCGATCCAAGAAAACAGGATTATCCTGATCCCATCAGAAGGGGGGATTCAATTGTGATTTTTTTTTTTGTTGTTGTTGTTGTTTTGCCAAATAAGCCTGTAATTTGATGTGACACTAGACAAGGGAGTGGGGATCCAAAGGCATGTTCATTGAGAATGGTCAGGCAAGCAACGATCAACACAAGGGCAAACAGATGTATACAGGCAAATCCAGAGTTGTGGTCATTAAACAGGCAGATAGTCAAAAAGACATACAGCAGGTAACATAAACAAATAAAACAAGTCGAGCGCCTAAAACACGTCGTAATGTTCACTATAGAGTTCAACAAGACTCTTTCATTTCTGTGTGTTTCTGTGCTGACTTCATAGTTCTAGTAATCAGTTCATGAGTAGCTTCAGCTGTGAATGCAATCATGGAGATCTAGACCAGGTGTGTGAATGGGTCATGCACACAGCTGTTGTGTCCGTTTAATAGTGGATTCAATACTATGTGATTACCAGCGATCTGCACAGGCTGGATCGCTGGTGATTGTGACAGAACCAGACAAAATGTTAATTTTTTAGTGAATGATCACAAGCATAATGATTACTGATGATATATAAATTCCTCCATATTTGAAGCCTATATGGAGCATGTCACATCTAATGAGATATGGAAAACAACAACAACAAAACAACATTAAAGCAGTATTGTATTAGACAAACTAAAACATGTTAAATGTTTATTGATTGCAGTGTTTCGTTTTTTTACCATCAAAACAAACAAGGGCTGTTTGTGGCCACTGGTATTTTGCCTACCTGTTGTTCTTTGCAAGGCAGTAAGCTACACTGTTGGTTCCATTTAAGGCTCTGGTAAACAGGATTTGATAATCTGGAAATTTGGCATTTGGATTGTTGTTGGATTAATTTAAAGCTCCAGAAGTTTACACTCTGAAAAACATAATTTTTTTTTTTTTTAAATGTCTGATGGTAAATCATACTAAACATTTACTATTTTAGGTCCGTTACGATTACCTAAATGGTTTACAATTGCCAAATGCCAGAATAATGAAATTTTAATTCATTTCTATACAGTCAAAAGTTTACATATATTTCCTTGGTATTTTTTTAGCTTTACTTTTAAACTGTATAACTTTGGTTAAATGTTTTGGGTATCCTTCCACAAGCTTCTCACAATAGTTTGAAGGAATGTTGGCCCATTCCTCCTGACAGTACTGGTGTAATTGAGTCAGATTTGTTGGCTGTCTTGCTCGCTCAAGCTTTTTCAACTCCACCCACTAAATTTCTATAGAATTGAGATCAGGGCTTTGTGATGGCCACTCCAAAACATTCACTCTGTTGTCCTTAAAGCACATTTTAACTAATTTGGCAGTATGCTTAGTTTTCCGTATTTTATGATTCATGCTTTTATTTTTGTATTTTCCCCATTTATTTATGCTTTTCAATTGCATTATGGGACCTTGAACTTTTTTAAACAACTTTTAACCTTGAAAAGTTTGAATAGGGGACTTTTATGAACATTTTTAATGTTTTAAAGTTATATATAGTCTGGATTTGTGTTGTATATTATGCTACAAAGCCTTATAATAAACTGCCAGTACATTTTCTTTCTTGACTTATTATTTCTTATACATTATATTATTTTAAACTACTCAAATGTCAATTAAAGTGAATTTGTTAAACTTTAGAGTTGAATTTTCAACATCAAAAGTCAACAGAGCACAGATCAACATCCCATAATGCAATTCACAACCAGAAATAAACAGAAAAACTATTGTGAATCACAAAAAACAAAAACTATGCTATGTTTTTTACAGTGTACTTTAAAATAAAGTGACCAAATTTGCACTGGTTATAATGTAATCAGCCGGCTTTTTAGCATAAAATAAACAAGTGAAGGTCAAAGTGCAGAAACAACCAAAATCTCTATTCGCAGAGGCCTTGCAAGAGCAGCAGATCAACAGCAGTGCAGCTGCTGCTGCTGGTGTATTTATAGACCCAACTGTTAGGCGGTAGCGTCAGCAGGGCAGAAGTAAGTTTACTAAAGAGTGGATGAGGCGGGGGTGACAGGAAAACAGTCTCTCCTACATACTTTACATAAAGGTCAACAATGAGAATAGGTTTCGTCAAGCGACATTAACACATGTGTAACGCTTGAGGAAGACAATAATGAGGAAGAGCAAGTCATTACTCATTATGAGGAAATACAAGAGAAAGATAAAGCAGAAGAAGTAGTTAAGGATATGGTGACGATATACTGCCGAACACACACAGATAAACACAAAGTTTTTTAAGGAATTCAAGTCATATGTTTGTTTTTCTTTGAATGTGCATGGCAAATAAAAAACTTTGTATATTTAATTTTTAAAAAGTTCCTCAAAACACTTCCTCGTTTCATTGTGAGTTTGGGGTCTATTTTAAAGAGTTAGGTGCAAAGTCGAAAGATGCAGACATCTCCGAAACCCAACAGGTGGACAAATCTAAACTTGTTTTTATTAAAACAAATATAAATATGCATATAATAAGTAATACTGCTAATAATAATACCATTATACCAATGCAAATTGTCATGAATAAACTGAACCGAGATAAAGAAGGCATGGAGGCAGTGGCCTTTATATTCATGTAGAAAATTATAATTTTTTAAATATTTTAATCCTTTATTTTTTTTAATATGTTAAGATATTTGTTTATTTCTGTACATCCTGTGTGTATTAAGCAATTTAAGCATTTGAACCGCATATGTGCATAACCAACACGCTCTGCGCTGGACTTTAGAGCAGCTTTTAGTTAGTCAATAGCGCCGTCTATTTCAGTTGCTAAAAATAGCAACACACCAGCAATGCACCTTAACACACCTCCTTTCTAGAATCTGTCACAATACTAATTCAACTGATATCTACTTTGTGTCTTCCCCCCGTACAGTAAAGATGCCTCACGCTTATCCATTCCTGAGCCCTGATCAGAAGAAAGAGCTGAGTGACATTGCTCAGAGGATCGTTGCTCCGGGAAAGGGAATTCTTGCTGCCGATGAGTCCACAGGTGCAAATTACAACACCAATTTCAACAGAAACGAACAAATATTTAAGACTTAAGGTGGAGATGTCACTTTTTAAAGAAAAAACAATGGTCCCACTTTATATTAAGTGTCCCTAACTACTATGTACTTACATCAAAAAATAAATACAATGTACTTACTGTGTTTATAATGTATTTGAGAACACTTGTGGTGCTTTTGAGTTGGGATAGAGGTTGGGTTATGGACAGGTTTGGTGGCGTGGGTAGGTTTAAGGGTGGGTTAAGGTGTAAGGGATGGTCAACAGTGTATTTACAAATGTAATTACAAAAGTTAGTTACAGATGTAATTACATATATGTATTTAATCAAGCATAAGTACATAGTACATGTATTTACACAACAAGTACATTGTAACAAACTATTAATTCCTGTGTAAGTACATATTAGTTAAGGCCACTTAATATAAAGTGGGACCAAAACAATTATGGATCTGCTTGTACACTTCATTTTCAAGCATCTGCACACAGCTACAGTATAGACTGACCACACACGGACACTTTCACAAAATCCCAAAAGTTGAAGCAAAGATATTTTGCATCTTATTTTGAAAAGTTAGTGCTTTCAGCCCAACAATAATTTAATCTCAGTAAGTAAACAGCCAAAATGCATTCAATATTTTTAGCATATTTTATACAACCCTCTAAATTGTGGTATAAACAAACCCACAACTGCGTTAAACTTTTAATTCACAGAATCAAGTAAAAAAATAGGGTTGGTCCATATTTTGTTCCAAATTGGGTTGAAACAACTGATAAAAGTCTTGTTGTCGATCCCAGTTGTAAGAGCAATAAATAATAAGTTGACTTCTATAGTTGATGATTTGGTAAAGTGACAGATGGTACATTTTTACGATGAATCATCTGTTGGGCTGCATCCCAATTATCACAAATACTGCAGAATACTCACAGTAATCAGTCAAGATTGGTGAAGGAAAAATCATGGTTTGGGGTTAGATTCATTATGGGGGAGTGCGAGAGATCTGCAGAGTGGATGTCAACATCAACAGCCTGAGGTGTCAAGACATTTGTGCTGCCCACTACATCACAAACTACAGGAGAGTTCTCCAGCAGGATAGGGCTCCTTCTCATACTTCAGCCTCCACATCAAAGCTCCTGAAAGCAAAGAAGGCCAAGGTGCTCCAGGATTGGCCAGCCCAGTCACCAAACATGAACATTATTGAGCATTTTGGGGAAAAAATGGAGGAGGATGCATTTAAGATGAATCTAAAGGATCTTGATGAACTCGGAGTCCTGCAAGAACGCTTTCTTTGGCATTCCAGATGACTTTATTAATCAGTGATTTGAGTCATTGCAGAGATGTATGGATGCAGTCCTCCAAGCTCATGATGGAGTCAGTCACAATATTCATTCTGTCTCCACTGCAGCAGGACTTTATATACTATACTGGACATTATTTCTGTTCAGTTACAAGACTTTTGTCTAAGCAAAGTCAGACCTTGCTGTCCTAATTAAATAATTAAAAATCAAGGCATGATCATATTTTATTTTGGTAAAATAAGCGCAATCTAGAGCCCTTTGCCTTTTATATAAGCCCCTACTGACACCAAATGATCAATTAGGAGTCAACTTATTATCTTCTAAAACTTGGACAGATGACAAGACTTTTGTCAGGTAGTGTTCTGTCATCATGGCAAAGATAAAATAACAGTCATCAGAAATTAGATATTAAAACTATTATGCTTAGAAGAGTTGAAAAAAAATCTTATCTCTGTTGAACTGAAATTATATACAGTAGGGCTAATAATTCTGACTTCAACTGTACAGTATGTGAGCTATTCAAGAGCCAAACATGTTAAGTTTAAATCAAGTTAACACTAGTTAAGTCAACTTAAAGACTAGTTAAGAGGGTGTAAACTTACCACGTTGAGTTGAAGTAACAAATTATAAAACTACAAGTTGTTTCAGCTTACAAAATAATGACTTAAAAAATCAGTTGTTTAGAGCTGTTTCTTCTTACCCTCTGGCTCTTGTTTTAGGCAGCGTAGCAAAGCGTTTCCAGAGCATCAATGCTGAGAACACCGAGGAGAACAGACGTCTGTACCGGCAGCTGCTGTTCACCGCTGACGACCGCATCAAACCCTGCATCGGTGGAGTCATCCTCTTCCACGAGACCCTCTATCAGAAGACCGATGATGGCAAGCTTTTCTCTCAGCTGATTAAGGAGAGAGGCATGGTGGTGGGAATCAAGGTGGACAAGGGTGTTGTGCCTCTGGCCGGCACCAATGGAGAGACCACCACTCAGGGTATGAAGGACATCCCTTCTTATTCTTCTCAATACTTATATTTGAATTCATATTTGGTGACTTGTTCACAATATTGGTTTATTTCCTGCCTATTATTAAGATATTGACTGTGTATTAGTACTTATAAACATATTCTGGATGATTTTATTTTACATTACTAATCCTACCCAATACACAAACCCAACTGCAAGCTTAATAACTGTTAATAAGCAGCTAATTAGGAGTTTATTAAGGCAAAAGTCCTATGGTTTGTTAATAGCAATAATTTTTCCTTAAAACAAAGCATGACCTCATGTTTTCATAATGTCTTCCTTAGGTCTGGATGGTCTGTACGAGCGTTGCGCTCAGTACAAAAAAGATGGTGCTGACTTCGCTAAATGGCGCTGTGTGTTGAAGATCACACCCACAACTCCATCCAATCTTGCCATTATTGAGAATGCCAATGTGCTCGCCCGCTACGCCAGCATCTGCCAGATGGTGAGACACACTTTTAAAAATATTGATGGAAAAACATTAAAAGCAGAATATGTACGATGGTTTTATTAAAATATCTAAAAGTGTTATATATTGTGCTGGTGAAGACCACAACTCCCATGATTCCACACTCAATCATGGCATCATCAAACTACACCTTTGTTTGTTGTGAATGCACGCCCTCTACTGGCAGAAATTACATACTGTGCCTTTAAGGGCCCTATCATACACCCGTCGCAGTGTGGCGCAAGGCGCGGCGCAATAGTCTTTTGGTAGTTTCAGCTTGGCGCAAGAGTCGTTTTGAGGCGTTGCGCTACGCTGTTTAAATAGCAAATGCATTAGCGCTCATTTTTGCGCCCATAGGAGTTCTGCTCTAAAAAGGAAGGCGTTCTGAGGCGGACCGCTGGCGCGTTGCTATTTTGAGAATCTATAATAGATTTTTCATTAGACCAAAACAAACCCGGTCTAAACTCCGGCGCAGAGTTGTGCCTTGCTTACGCACTGCTTAATACGCACAAGAGAGCAATAGGCAAATATCTTTACATATGAAAAAATGTAAATATTAAGGATATATTTAGTATATAATAAGAATAGATATAGAATATAAATATAAAAATTAAAATATTACAAAACATATTATTTTCTAGCCTACATAAATATGAAAAATCACTGCTTTTATGTCTTCTTCATCTCGGGAGGCTTTTTCAGTTCATTCATAACAATTTGCTTTTGTATAATGTTATTATTATTAGCAGTATTATTTAATATATCCATATTTATATTTGTTTTATTAAAAACAAGCTTAGATTTGCCCACCTGTCAGGTTTTAGACCATATGGGGCACAGCATGTTTTAGGATATAACTCAGGTTTTTGAGCACACTTGGTTATTATTGTTCATTTATTCGTTTGCTGGAAATTAGAACTGAATTTAGAAATAGTTTTGAAATGAATATTTGCGCTTAACAAACAAAATTAATTATTTATAGACTAATGGATGTCTGTGCGTAAAGGTTTCCCTATCCAAGAGCGAAAGTGAAAGTAGATCATTTATGTCTCATAAATGAGACATAAATGAAGATGCTCTGTTTAACAGTTTTCTGTTAAAAACTGTTAACTGTTAGCTGTTTGCTTGTGAAATGCTCATTTTTTCCACTTAGACTTACTTTGCGTCCTGTAAATAGCGAATGCGCTCTTGGCGCGACGCAGCTGACTCTAAAAGGGAATGGGAGATCAGACTCTGATTGGTTTATTCTCAGAACACACCTATAACTCATTAAGACAATAAACTCAACCCTTTTAGACCATGCGCAGCGGCGCAAGGCAGATTTCCCGTCCTTAAATTAGCAAAAACGCGTCCTGACACGCCCTGAAAGCGCTTGCGCCCTGCGTTTTGCGCTCTGCGCATGGACCGTCAAAATAGAGCCCACAAAGTTCACTGTTCAGGGAGGAAGGTAACCACCAACCTGTCATTATTTTTTGCAAAATCAAAACAAAATATTTTTACTGTGTGTCTTTTGTGCTGGTACTTGGTTTATGTCTGCATGTCATGGAGAAATAGCTAACACATTAAACTGGCCAGTAGGCACTGCTAAGTCCTTGTTTTAAAGAACGATTCATTGAATCAATCATTCAAATGATTTGTTCAAAATTCGTTTAAAACAAAAGCAAGTAACTTGCTAAATTCAGAATTGTGGACTATGAATCTGAAATTGAACTTACATTGCCATCATAAAAACAGTATTTTAGTAGAACAGTTCGATAGTAATAGTGATAGCTTCTGCTAATTAAAAATATAAAAGTAATGTAAGTATATTGCTGTAAATAAACTAATTAGCTAATGATAACTGTCCTTTTCACACGGGGCTTCAGCGTCAACGCTTGACAGAGGGAGTGTCTGAAGTTGCGGCTGGCGCGATCGTCATAGCAGCGTCAGCCAATAAAATTAGTCAGCAATCGGCTACTGTCTGAGCTGGTGTATTTGCATACAGCGATCTGATTGGCTGACGCTTCCATCGGCGATTGAAAAGTTGAGCACGTCCCAACCTATCCAGCATATGTTTTTATGCAGCTGCAACCCATTACTAGACAAAACAATCATACACACCCATTCACACACACAGGCACACACACTCATACACTATGGACAATTTTAGCTTACCTAATTCACCTATACCACGTGTCTTTGGACTTGTGGGGTAAACCGGAGCCCCTGGAGGAAACCCACGCGAACGCAGGGAGAACATGCAAACTCCACACAGAAACTCGAACCAGCGACCTTCTTGCTGTGAGGTGACAGCACTATCTACTGTGTCACTGCGCTGCCGATTTTATGACGTTGAAGTGATAGTTCATCAAAAATTTGTAAATTTGATGCAAATTTACTCCTTTTAAGGCCATCCATATTGTAGATTACTTTTTTTTTCTTTGATAAACATTAAAGACGTATTAGCTGAAGCTGTGGTCCGTAGTAATGGCTACTGGCAACTAAATTAAACCTGTATGATAACTAATTATCATCAAAACGGTACTAAAATGGTATCTTGGATGGTGAAACCTGCATTAAAAAAGTAGCATTTTTAATCAGTTTTCCCCTGGTGTTTATAACCTTTTCAGAAACAAAGCCTTTACCCCTTTTAAAAGTACAATTCTCGCTATCAACAAACCATTGACAGGATTTTTAGCCCAAATAACTCTTATATTGCTGCTTATCAATAGTTATTTGCTAGCCGGCAGCTAGCTCTCTGCAACTCTCACATGGTCACCCACTAAAGCCAAGCAGGGCTGCGCCCAGTCAGTACCTGGATGACAAACCACATGGAAAAGCTTGGTTGCTGCCAGAAGTGGTGTTAGTGAGACCAGCAGGGGGCGCTCAACCTGTGGTCGATGTGGGTCCTAATGCCCCAGTATAATGAAAGGGACTCTATACTTCTCTTTGAGCACCATTTTTGGATGAGATGTTAATCCAGGTGGATGATGCACATTGGTGGTGGATAAGGAGATTCCCCTCAATGTGTAAAGTGCTTTGAGTGTCCGGAAAAGCGCAATATAAAAATGTAAGGAATTATTATTATTATTATTTTACTGTCTTTTCTTTATTACAAGTACGCACTGTTTTAAATACGTTTTAGTTTGAAGTTGTGAAAGTCATTCTTGATGTGCAGCTGATCACAGAGGGTTGGAACAGATCTTTTAATCCTAGTTTCTTTGCAAATCCTGTTCTGTGGATATGTTCATATGCGTTACTATGGAGACATGTTATCACGTGCCTGTCAATCAATTCGGTGGGCGGGGAAAACTGCACTCCTACATCACTTTGCGGTGAGCCTCAAAATCTCTAGGATTAGGATCCTATTTGGTCAGAAAATTGACTTATTGTGTTTATATCACACCAATATGACAGTGGACACACTATACCTACACACAGTCCTGTCTAAACAGCTTCCTAAAGTTGTTTTTCACATCATAGGTGGCCTTTAACATATGCACAGTGTGTCAGATGAATCATTTATATTCATTTCTGTTGCTGTGGTCAGCATGGTATTGTACCCATCGTGGAGCCTGAGATCCTGCCTGATGGTGATCATGACCTGAAGAGATGCCAGTACGTGACGGAGAAGGTTCTGGCAGCGGTGTACAAGGCTCTTTCAGACCATCATGTGTATCTGGAGGGAACCCTGCTGAAGCCCAACATGGTGACGGCCGGTCACTCCTGCTCCCATAAATACTCACCTCAGGAGATCGCCATGGCTACTGTCACAGCCCTGCGCCGCACCGTTCCACCTGCTGTCCCCGGTGAGCCCAAAAACACCCACAGTCACGCTTAAAGGGATAGTTCACCCAAAAATCCACCTTCTGTCATCATTTATTCACACTTATAAACTCGTTTCAAACCTTTATGAGTTTCTTTCTTTTGTTAAACACTAAATAAGATACTTTGAAGAATGCTGGGGGAAGCCATTGATTTCAATAGTATTTGTTTTTTCGACTATGGAAGTCAGTGGTTACAGGTTTTCAGCTTTCTTCAAAATATTGTATTATTACGTATAAGTCAAGTCTCGCTTTCAGTTTCAGGCTCTGGCGCGTTTTGCACTCATACACAAGCGTACCGCGCCAAAGCCCAAGTGAACCGCTCGATTCAGCGCACTCACACTTCTCAAATGATGTGGGAAACGGGCCTGGGCACAGTTCGCATAGCATAGTGTGAGAGAATCGTCCTAACTCCCCTTAATATTATCATCATCATCATCTTCCCAAAGGCATCACCTTCCTTTCTGGAGGCCAGAGCGAGGAGGAAGCTTCAATCAACCTGAGCACCATCAACCAGTGTCCGCTGAGCAAACCCTGGGCCCTCACCTTCTCCTACGGACGGGCCCTGCAGGCCTCCGCTCTTAAAGCCTGGGGAGGAAAGAAGGAGAATGGCAAGGCCTGCCAGGAGGAATTCGTCAAGAGAGCCGTGGTATGTGAACTTGCATGAATTATTAGCCCTCCTGTACATTTCCTCCCCAATTTAGGCAAGTTAAGGTAATTAGGCAAGTCATTGTATAATGATGGTTTGTTCTGTAGATAATTGAAAATAAATACTGCTTAAGGGGGTTAATAATATTGACCTTAAATTGTTTTTTTTTTAAATAAAACTGCTTTTATTCTAGCTGAAATAAAACAAATAAGACTGTCTCCAGAAGAAAAAAATACTATAGGAAATACTGTGAAAAATTCCTTACTCTGTTGAACAATGATAATACATTTTTTTTAAATCACAGGATGGCATTTTGACTTCAATTAAGTATTTATACCCAATTAAAAGAGTACTATAGTAATTACAGCGAATACTATAGAATACTATAGAAAAGTAAAATAAAATGTATTTTAAAAGTGGGTCAAGACAGGACAAACTTACGTGGCCCACATATCAATTTTTAACATCTGGGCCAAATACTGCATTTGACATCTGGCACATTTCTTGTGCTACCTCTGCCAAACCTGGGCTATATTTTGCCCACATACTGTATGCAAGTGATGGGCAAATGCCTGATGTGCCAGCTTTATGCCAAATCAGGGCCAGAGTTTTTTTTTCCACCTAGGTACAGTAAACAGTAGCATTGATTAACAAAGAGTGGGAATATATAGTTTATAATACAATTTACTATAGTATGGTTCATAAAACACCATGGTATCAACAAAAAATACTATATTTTCATGTGGGCAGGTTTGCTTATTGTGAAGGGGATTTAGGGTTGTATATTTTTAGACCCTGTAAAATATTATAGTATGACCGACATTAATAGTATCTGCCAAATATACTTATACTTATCTAATATTCAAGACAGATTATAGGCTTACACTATTTTTATATATATATATATATATATATATATATATATATATATATATATATATATATATATATATATATATATATATATACTTTTTTTTTTTTTTTTTTACCCAAAATCACTAGGATTGACATTTTTTCACTATAAAGAATCTTTTGTAAATGTTTAATGGATTTTTAAAGTTCTTCTCAGTACTATTAATGCCAATAATAAACCTTTATTTTTAAAAGTCTAAGTAATGCCATTATTAATAACATTTCTAAGTTTACTACTGTAAGTATCTGTGTATAGAGTGCATTTTCTCCATAAGGAGGTTTAAAAAGCCGTTGTTTTTTTCATTACTAATCCAAATCTCAACCATTAAAGGTGAATTACAACATTGCAAAGTTTTGCAAACATTGAAGCCAAAAAAAATACAGTATAAATGTAAAAATCAGACATAAAGACAGTTACAGTACTTTAATGGGTAGAAAAAAAATTACAATCCCAAGAAGCACTGTGAATAGCAATCAAAAACAGCAGAGAAATATAAAACTTTTACAGATAAAATAAATAGAAACAATTATTGACAGTCACACACATACAAACACAAATAGTCAAATGTATGGAATTAATGACATAATTTGCATTGCATCATGGGAGTAATTGCATAAAATTGTTTTGATTCCTGATTGTTATCCTTTTTGTGCATTCTTCTAATGATCATGTTAAAATATTACATATTTTTTGTTAGTTATTAGTTTAATAGTTTTGAGTTATTTATTAGTTAATAAATCAGTTCCACTGTTAAATAAAATAAATGAAGTTTTCTCCTATAGGTAACCGAATATCGAACATCTTGAAACGACACATATGTTTTGGGGTGCGTTCCCAAACAACGACATAACTTGCGGCTAAACTATCATACTATGATGCATTGTTTGGGAATTAAATGATGTATTGACGAGTGTTTCCCAAAACCATATCACATATCCGTCGTTTGAATCTCTTTAGTTATAATGTAAAATGTCCATAATGACGCTCTAAACAGAGGGGAGTAACAACTTCTTTAGAGAAAAAACACATACTTTTTGTGCAAATTATATTGATTTACTCGCACACGCATTTGAAAAAAAATCCAATGTTAGTTTCGGTAAAAACATGCACAACATATTAATTGAAATATAAACAGCACATATAGAGCCTATGTTTCTTTTACAATTATTATTGAGAATATTCCATATTCTATTCTAACACATAAAACCACTTAGCTAACACCTATTTTAATCTCATATATAAATCATATAAATCATTAATGGTTGTAATTTACTGTAGTCTATTTATTAAAGAATGAAGAAAAATTCTACTTAATAATAATAATAATAATAATATTAAATATTAAGCAGGATCTTGTTTATTTTCTTATTTTATTTTATTTATTGTAAAAGTCTACTATATAACTTGTCAAATAATTTGTTTACTATATAATTTGTCTACTTATAATTTGTCAAAACCGCAAACCTTGCAGAAAAACGTGTGTTAAATACATACAGTGAAACCATAAACATGTACTTGAGCATCCATTTAACTTAGTGAAATGAACACGATAAGACAGTATGATGGCAACAGCTTGTTTTTTCCATACTTGTAATTTTTACAGGGACATATCTTTGACAAATAAAGGGTTAATTTCATGCAGTTGAGTTCATTGCACAACCAAATAAATTCCACAAAACAAGTCTATGATGTGTAATCCAATATGTTCGCCTCACCCATATGGACGACTTTTCTGGCGTGCTCAGTTTGCTCGGTAGCTTACTTTATATGTTTTATATTTATTAAGAAATTAAGAAAAATCCTACTTAATAATAATAATAATAATAATAACAACAATAATAATAATAATAATAATAAGTATGATCTTGTTATTTTCTTATTTTATTTTATTTATTGTAAAAGTCTACTTTTACAATTTGACACATTCACACAGGCCCATGTCATATATAGGCCTACAGTACAGATGCATTTCTTAACAAATAAGCTACTACAAATTAAAAGCATTAACGCATGCTATATATATTTGTTTTCACAAGCTTTGGAGATGTAAAGTAAATTACACTTTTAAATAATCGGTCACCTATAGCTTTCGCCATGGCTGCGTTCAAAATGCCATAATTATTTTTAAAGTGCACTACGAAGGGAGCACAATTGTCAATATGAAGATCGCTAAAACTGAACTGTAAAGAATACTTTGAAAACAAATTACACCTAAGAGAGAGGTTTTTTTTTAATCATTCCGAGTTTAAATGTTGGAACGTTCTTAATGAATAGGGCATAGGGGGGATAACTGAAAACACAGCCAGGAACCATGCTTCTAACTACAGCACTAGAGGTGTAGTTGCAAGCATACAAGTTTGAGAATGTTCAGTGCAACAACAGATTTAGGAAACACCAAATCAACGAACAATGTTTGTAACAACACAACTTGCGACCTTAGTTGGCTAACGATGGTTTTCGGAAACACACCCCTGATTGCCTAAAATTAAGTTGAGCAACGCTGTATTTACTTCACATGCAACATTAGGTATTTAAAACCATTTTTTTCAACAGAGTCTGGCTGCAGACACGATGCAGTCTTAGACCGATGCAATCTCGGCCACGCATGAGCATTTATATCGATGCAATCTCAGCCGCTCATGCGCATTTGAACTCGTATATTCTCATGCATGCACACTTTGCAGCGGGTCAAAGACAGAAACACGCCAAAATACGGTGTACAAACTAAAGGTGTGACAGACAAAAGAACTACCTATGTATCTATTCACATAATTATGTCACAAGGTAACCTGTAAACTCCTATTATATGAAGATTCGGGTCACGGCCAGGATTTTACTTAAAATAATAGCCGATAGGGTCTGCGATGCAGTGGCGCCGAAGGTTGTGCTGTCGCATCACAGCAAGAAGGTCGCTGGGTCGCTGGTTCGAGCCTCGGCTCATCTGACGTTTCTGTGTGGAGTTTGCATGTTCTCCCTGTGTTTGCGTGGGTTTCCTCCGGGTGCTCCGGTTTCCCCCACAGGCCAAAGACATGTGGTATAGGCTAATTAGGTAGGCTAAATTGTAGTGTATGAGTATGTGTGTGAATGAGTGAGTGTGGATGTTTTCCAGAGATGGGTTTCAGGGATAAGTTGGCGGTTCATTCCACTGTGGCAACCCCGGATTAATAAAGTAACTAAGCCGACAAGAAAAAGAATGAATGAATAGCCGATAGGCATTTCCAATGTTGTCTTAATAACTTCATTACTTCACACGTCTAAAATGTCGTTATATTGGCTGAACGCATAACGGTAATACACTACTAAATACAACTTTTCTACACATTCCTCCAACGTAAAAAATATTTATGTAGACATCTTATAGTGCTTTACCATTCTGTAGTACAGTATTATACCATTTATATTACAGTAATCAAAACTTATACGTTAACACGTCGCTCTGAATGCGCATGTGCAGCTGAGATTGCACTGGTCTGAGATTGCATCATGTCTGCAGCCAGACCCTTCTCCTTTTTTTTTTTTTTTTTTTTACATTTTGTTTCTATTTTACTGATCTAATTTGTGCTTATTTGCTTTACAGAACAACAGCGCAGCAGCTGTCGGTAAATACGTCTCCAAAGGAGACACCGGAGCAGCGGCAGGAGAGTCTCTGTTTGTGGCCAATCATGCTTATTAAAGAAATACCAACGGCCACACTTCAACCGGCTCACTCATCTGTTCACTCATATGTGCACACACAGTCATGAATCACTCTTTCCAGCATACACACTTTCCACAATGATATAAGCATCATGATAGGTGACCAACTGATAAAGATAGCCTGCGTTTCCTCCATTTCAGCAACTTCTACGTTTGTTTTTTCATCTGTTCTTTTCACCATATATTTTCTATATCTGGCATAAGAATAAAGTATTAAATCATCAACACAGAGTTTGACTGTCTTCACACACAATGATGATCAATGTGCTTCAGAATACAAATAGATTGTAGGTTTTTTATTCTCTCGTTTTAATGGAAATGTTAAGTGGTAAACATCAGGACATCGTGGTAATTAGGGTTTGGTTGATAGAAGATGCCATAGCCATCGCTGATAGACATCACAATACTGAGCCGACATCACAACGATACACATGGCTCTGTTTACATTAACGTCTTAGTTTTAAAATGGCGTCGGACAGTTTATCGAGGATGTACCGTTGGATGGCGTCTCACTATAGTTGTTAAAGAGCCATGAAACCCCCTCGTTTCAGCAGGGTGTTTTCACACCTCTACTTTGGAAAAAGTCAGAAAAGTGGGCGTGTCCAGCTCTGTTTAGGGGGAGTGTCTGAGGAAGAAAAGTGGGATGGTGTGGGAGTGTCTATTTGGGCACGCGCGAGTTTCAGAGTCAAAATACACACACACACACACACACACACAATAGAAAGTGAGTGCTGCTTTAACTGCAGTTTGGCTCTTTCATTCAGGGAATGATTCATGCCCCTCACGAAAAACAAGATATTCGAGGAGCTGCTTTAAGCGTGTATTTTTATGCCATGTTTGATGCCGCACGCCGAATGAGAGAAAAAAAACCCTCCGCATTTTCCGGAAACTTAGATGCACTCGACAGGTAGCGTCAGAAAGCCGCGTGTGTTATTCCGGTCACAAAATGCGGTGAAAATCCTACACGAGGTTAAAGTTTGGTTGTGTTGCTAACATGTTTACACTCGGTGCAATAGTTAACTTAGTTCGATATGAACAAACTGAATAAACAAAGAGCACTGGTCGCTCACTTACCAAATCTGTAGAGACAGGACAATCACCAGCAACAAGAGCCGCGTCTTTATGAAGAGAAGACTACAAGCGAATCCGGATCTCAGCGTTTGCAGATGAGAACAGCTCTCAGGTAAACAATAATCCTCCTTAGACACGCAAGTTATTGTTGTCGAGCGTCGCGTACACTGTTAATCCACACGTGAGTCCAGCTGCGCTCTCACAGAGAGAAAATAAAAACAAAACTGAACTGCAGCAAACTATAAAAGCAACACTTCATGCTTGTTTTGCCAACACAACGTGGCGTCTCTGTCGTCTAAACACTCTGACAGTAATGAATATTAATGAAGTTGCACAATAGAGCGCGCTGATTGGTTTGAACCAAGCCTTACTCATGCATTAATGCATCACACTGTAAGACGTAATAAGACTCACTCTGGCACAGACGTCCAGTCTGCACGCTGGAATACACGCTATTATGTCATGGCCGTGACGCAACTTCAAAAATTTGTTTCAAACCGGAAGTACGAATTTGCTTGAAATAACGCAAAAACAACCAATTTACACTTTTTAGTGAAATATAGGTGTCCTAATAGTGTTTTTAGCAGTGTGGGACACATATACGACTGTCAACAGCTCAAAACATGTGCTTTGGTGTTTCGTGACCCTTTAAACGTGATATTTAATTAATCTTGCCTCTATCTCATGACTCTTCTGTCTTTTGAATCTATCAGGTAACATGTCACAGCATCAGTACACTTCTTCAGTCTTTCGCTTTCACACTTCTACTTAGTCATTTTAATGAAAACCTCAGATACTGTGGCTGCGTCCGAAACTGCCTATTACTCAGTAGGTACTGCATTTAAATGTAAACGTACTACTCGGCCGTTAGAAAAGTACGTTCTATACAGTATGAATGTGAAAAGTATGAATGGAATTCGGACGTACTACATCCGCCATTTTGTCATGGTCATGTGACCTACCTGCGTCAGTTGCGTCGCCTCACTTCCATTCATGCATTCTCTCACGGGGCATCATGGGATAGCGCAGGGTGCATGGGATGCGCACTACAGAATCTCGCCGGAAGTAGTAAGTCATGCGGGTACTTCTCGCCTATTGATTTTCGATTTCTATGAATTCGGACATACTACTCAGCTCGCATACTGATTTTAGCATACTATATAGTATGGGAGTATGCGGTTTCGGACGCAGTCTGTTGGTTTTTTCCTGTTGGTTGTGCACCTTTTTACCAACCAAGTTTGTCGACGCCATTATAGCGACACATCACTCTGCCTATTCATGCCAGAGTCCTGCGGAAAAAGTGATTGACAGGTGGTAATTTGTGTGTAACTTCTCTTTATTTATTTGCGATTTGGTTATGGTTAAAACAAAGACCATGCGGATTTATGTACAAATAGTTAATTTGTCATGAATTAATTAATTATTCATAAATAATTAATTTAATTCACCGCTGATTACGACGAAGATCCCATCGCAATGTTTTTACATTAGACATCGTACGATGCCAAATTGTTCGACATCGCCCAACCCTAGTGGTAATATCTGGGATATCTGGGACTTCTCAGAATTTCTACATATCATTTTAATTCATTAATTCATTTTCATGTGCTTTTTCAGGGCCGCAGTCTTACATAACATTTTGCTTTTGTTAATTTGATTTAGTTTTTTTCCCACTTTAAATAAAATAGGCTCAATTATTCAATTAAATAGATAAAATTATTAGATGTAAATGACACTTGAGGTTAAAAATTGTTAAGAAAAAACAATCTAGTCACGTTGTAGACATGTTTTTAACTATACTGTGACATCTCTGTTTTCCCATGATTATGGGCTGAAAATGAGACAAATAGTTTAACAGGTTTTGTAACCTGATACCAAAACACATGCTCAGCCTACATTTTTGTTAAAAACCACAAAACTTGCAGACAAATGTACATTTTTCACAAATACATTTTTGTGAAACCATAAACATGTACTTAAACATACATTTGACTCGGTGAAAATGAACACGATGAGACAGTGGGATGGCCACAACTCATTTTTTCTGCACTTGTGATTTTTACAGGAACATATCTTTGACTAATAAAGGGTTATTTTCATGCTGTTGAGTACATTGCACAACCAAATAAATTCCACAAAACAAGTCTATGATGTGTAATCCAATATGTTCGCCTCACCCATATGGACGACTTTTCTGGCGTGGTAGCTCACTTTGTATGGTGAATTGCATTGTATTGTTTCACACAACCCTGCTGAAAAATCCAGCTTAAACCAGCCTAGGTTGGCTGGTTTTAGCTGGTCGACCAGCCTGGTTTTAGAGGGGTTTTGGCCACTTCCAGGCTGGTTTTCAGTCATTTCCAGCCTGGTCTTAGCTGGTCAGGCTGGAAAGTGACCAGCTAAAACCATCTAAAACCAGCTTGACCATCCTGGACATAGGATTTTTCAGCTGGGAAAAGATAAAACAACACAATTGCAGTTCACATTTATCTACTGTTTACTTTTTTTTTTTTCTGTTTGTTAGGTTTGGTGAAGGTTTAGGTTAGTTGTTTGTTAGCTAATATGTAATAGTCTTGCTTTCAAATGTACTACAATAAGGACGCGTTTCTCAAAACACAACAAAATGTGCCCCCTCCCTACAGAAAAATCCAGTTTAAACCAGCCTAGGCTGGTTGGCTGGTTTTAGCTGGTCTACCAGGATGGTTTTAGAGGCGTTTTGGCCATTTCCAGGCTGGTTTTCAGCCATTTCCAGCCTGGTCTTAGCTGGCCAGGCTGGGAGATGACCGGCTACAACCAGCTTGACCAGCCTAGCCAGGCTGGGAGCCCAGCCAAAACCAGCTATGTCCAGCTTAAAACAGGCTGGTCAAGGTGGTTTTAGCTGGATTAAGCTGGTCATTTTCCAGCCTGACCAGCTAAGACCAGGCTGGAAATGGCTGGAAACTAGCCTGGAAATGGCCAAACCCCTCTAAAACCAGGCTGGTCGACCAGCTAAAACCAGCATACCAGCCTAGAGTTCGCTTAAATGTAAACAGTGACCTCTAGTGGATTAGGGGAATAATTCACGTCTACGTTTTTTGTTTTTTTGTTTTTGTTTTGATCATGCCACATTTAAAGATCATGCCACCCAACCCTGTTCCTAGAGCACTGCCTTCTTGCAGATTTCAGTGGACCATAAGCACAGCTAGTGTTTTTGAGCCACTTTCTGGTGAAAGCTTTATGTGACTATTTTCAATTTAATAAGCTTCCTATTTCATCATCAATGTTGTAATGTAATTTAAATATAATCAGTTAAACAGACTTCAGCATCTATTTGGTTGTTAAAGCATAAAAAGAGACGAAAGAATGCAGGTGCTCATTAGCCACAGGCTAGCGCAAAAAATCCATTAAAAATATTGGAGTCAAATTAGTTTCAATATTTTAAAGACATGGCATGGTAAAATCTAATTTAATGCAGTGCTTCTTGTTTGGTCTGATACACACTTTATATCTTATCTCAGCCAGGCAGTGAAGGTTGTTGTTTTTAAAAGAAATCAGATCTTAAACAGCAATTTTGTATGCCCTGCTGAAAAAAACTGCATAAACTAGCCAAGGTTGGTTGGTTGTTTGGTTGGTTTTAGCTAGTCGACCAGCCTAATTTTAGAGGGGCTTTGGTCACTTCCAGGCTGGTTTCCAGCCATTTCCAGCACGGTTTTTTCTGGAGAGGCTATGAGATGACCCGCTAAAACCAGCTTGACCAGCCTTGCCAGGCTGGGAGCCCAGCCAAAACCAGCAGGATGGTCAAGCTGGTTTTAGATGGTTTTAGCTGGTCACTTTCCAGCCTAACCAGCTAAGACAGTCTGGAAATGGCAGGAAATCAGCCTGGATGTGGCCAAAACCCCTCTAAAACCCAGCTGGTCGACCAGCTAAAACCAGCCAACCATCCCAGGCTGGTGTAAGCTGGATTTTTCAGCAGGGTGGGAGGACAATTAACCGGAAGCCCTGGAGCTGGCTGACTGAAAGTAAAGATCTGTGCGCATATACCCCATTGTAACCCTGACCAAACACACCTGTCTGTAATCATCAAGTGCTGCAGGTCCTATTAATTGGTTCAAGTGTGTTAAATCAGTGTTGAGGCTGAATTCTGCAAGACGGTAGCTCTTCAGGAACATGGTTGGTGATCACTGATCTAAACACTGGGCACCATCAGTTTTATCAAAACATATAGCTAATTGTATTGCTGTAAGGTGCTTTTATTCTCTAGTGAATGAATGGCATCTGCCAGCAGAATCCAGCCACTTACAATAACACGACAAAAGACTTCAGGAGCGTTTTCAGGTAAGTTCTCAAACACACATTGCATATGACTCTGCTACGATGCCTGAGAGAGCTTAACATGCTGCAATTTAAAAAAAAAACATGCAATTACAAAAAACACCAGCAAATTAAGAAAAGATCTTCATCCGTTTAACAACACACCGGCTGCAAATCCTCGCAATGCGTACACATAAAAAACATGCTGCATTTTCTCACAATGCGAACAATTTAATAAAACACGCTGCATTTTCTCACAATGCGAACAATTTAATAAAACACGCTGCATTTTCTCACAATGCGAACAATTTAATAAAACACGCTGCATTTTCTCACAATGCAAACAATTTCCGAAAATGCGCTACATTTTCTCACAACACCTTAAAATAGTACAGGACACAATGGCAATGTTTCATGGGGACCCTAAAACATGATAGACCCGGCTATTTATGTTATGAATTTTTAGGCTAATGACGTCAGGATGTTAAAATAAACAAACAAAAACCTTCCACCTTTCAAAGATCACCTACAGCTTCACTGAGCACTAGTCACGGCACAGCGGCGTCTGTCTCGTTTTTGGGAAATGCATTTGTAATAATTTGTTTGAGTTGTGAGTAAATGCAGCATTTGTTTAATGTGTATGCATTGTGATGATTTGCAGCATGTGTGCTCTTTTCTTAATTTGCTGGCATTTTTTTTAACTGCACGTGTTGTTTTAAGTGAAGTTTCACAAAACTAATTTCGAGAGGAGCATGTGATATGATTGACCACAGCTGGTCCCTATCTGTAACATTAGCTAGCCAATCGGATTATTCCCAACTTAACATAAATATCCAGCCTAAAGCTACGGTCACATTAGAGTTTGAGCATGCAATATTCCAGCCTGATCTCACGAGAAAACGTAAGTATTTTACGTTTTGCCAGTTTAGTGCCTAATTTGTACGAATTCGTACGAGTTGAGTCGTACGAAATGGTACGATTTTAAAAAGGAGGCGTGGCACCTAACCCCACCCCTAACCCCGACCGTCATTGGGGGATAAGCAAATCGTACTAAATTGTACGATTAATTAATTAGATCGTAATTAGATCGTACGAATTCATACGAATTAGCCACTAAATGAAAAAGTTACGAATTGCCGTGAGATTGTATTGAATATTCTGCCGTGCGGCGCTGCGAAAAGGAGCGGGATTAAACAAGTTTATTAGACATTTAAAAAGTGATTGCTCCATGTTTTAAATTTCTGTCCAGAGAGGTCATGTTTTGATCCTCGATTGGTCTCACGCAATCAAGTGATGCGATTTCGCAGGTCAGAGTTCACCAAGCTTGAACTTTGCACCACAGCGACCTGCGAAACTTGACCTTGCATTTCCGCAATTTTGCATTCGCGTACGTATGAATAGAAGTATATGGGAGGAAAAGCCCAGTATGACCACAGCTTAAAGCATGTATTGGTGTGGTTGGCGGTCTATTTTTATAGAGCTATCATTATTAATTAAGGATTGAGCCAAACGAATCAGGGGAGCTCTCGAGAGCTACCTGATCTCATATCCCTTTAAATGTTCATTGACCAGGCAGGAGCCTTGGGCTCGTCTATCTCCAAGCTCAGGGTTCTCTCACAGCAAGCCAAACCTGCTGACACAGCCAAGCATTATCTAGAACGGTGAACTCTTGAAATTGCAGCACTTTAAGCTCTCTCGGCCACCGTATTTTACTCTGTTACTAGTTATGTTTCCATTTTAAAAATGTGAATTAGACTTATGTACAAAACTGGAATAACACAAAAAACATTTGCGATCCAGTTTCTATTAAATGAGTCAAAAGCCCCTTTCACACAGTGATACCGGTAAATATCTGGAAAATTTCCGGAACGACTTTACCGGTATATTCAAAAAAGCGCTGTTCTCACAGACGAGGACGTTACGGAAATTTTCCGGAAAAGAGCATTCACACATCCATTCCAAAATACCGGTAAATTCTGACATCATTCACCACAAATGAGCTTTAAACGGCTGCGCTTGTATTTGTAAACATTTGACTAAATTACAAACTCTGTGGATGATCAATATTGTGAACAACTTTCTCAGGATCACTTTCGCATGTCGAGATGTTCATAATATGTGCGTGTGCAGGCGCTCATAGGCTGTTTCACAGGCACACGCAAAGCTTGAAGGTAAACAAACAGCGGCTTATCATAAGCATCTCATCGATGATTATTTACACAGTTGGCATTAAGAAGAACATATAAACGTGATCTGACTAACTTCTAGCAGCTAAATGTGTCTGGAAAAATATTCAAAGGCTTTTATTCTCATGAACTGTGCGGACGTAAACGCGTCTGACTGTTCTGATTGGCTAAAGCAGACGTCTCACGTCAGCACGTTCTAGACGTGCACGCGCTTATTACGGGAATCTTCCTTCTGCATTCACACAGCGCAGCATTCCGGCAAATTGCCGGTAATGTTACAACTTCTCTTTCCAGAAAATAGCCAGAACGAATTTACCGGTATTTTCAAAAAGGACCTGTTCACACATACAACCTTTCCGGAAAATTGCCGGCAATTTTCCGGAAAGGTCTGTATGTGTGAAAGGGGCTAATGACAACACTTCTTGATAACCTGGTACCAAATCTCAACAAGACAAATGAACTTTGCTGTGGTAGGGTTTGGAAGCCACTGCAGGGCTTGTCTTACAAAAAGAAGATGTAACGCAATGAACGCAAGGTGGATTTTTTTTCCAAGGAGTGATATACTCTTTGGAAGCACAGAAACTCAAGACAGTTCTGGAGGTAATAATACTAAACCACTGTGATGACAGATTTTGGCTGAGGGATTTTAGAATGATCCAAAAACAACATTTAAGATGTTTTATAAAAATTATTGCCATCCCATGAAAATTTTTCTTTTTTTTTACAAATTTTTGTTACTTTCTTGAAGTGCATGCTGAATATTATTCAGTGTTTCCATTATAGTTTATGCACATTTTTGTCTTATAAAAAGTTGATCCTGCTTTGGTAAACTTTTTTTTGCACATTTAAAAAATTTATGCTCCATTAAGTGTTTTTGTTTTATCCGTAATTTATTAAAAATGTGCAAAAATGTGCAAAAAAAATAGGTGGATGGAAAAATACTGAGTCTGTATATTAATATTTGCATGTTTGCAAGAGTCGGTTTTAAGTGACCATGAGTATGAGGAAGCTTGAGATTAGTGTAATGAAGAGAATTCTGAAATTAGAGATGAATGTGAAATGCGGTGAGGCTGTGTTTGAGCATGTGATGTTGGCGTCTGTGCAATTGGATGTAAAAGTTACAAAGTCAATGGCAGATCCCTGGACGTTCATCTTGATCCAAGACTGAAACTCAGAGACTCGTGAATACACGTCTGGATAAGCTCCCACAGCGCAGCCCGCACTCGTCCCATAACTCGTGATGCCCGCCTGGATCCACACAGACCCCTGTTTACACTGAAATGGACCTCCAGAATCGCCCTGCAGAGGGAGGCAGAGAGCAGACAAGATAAAAAAAATTGTTGTTTGAGCTAATTAGGGATATACACTCACTGGCCACTTTATTAGGTACACCTGTCCAACTGCTCGTTAACGCAAATTTCTAATCAGCCAATTGCATGGCAGCAACTCAATGCATTTAGGCAAAGAAAGAAAGGAGATTTAAGTGACTTTGAACGTGGCATGGTTGTTGGTGCCAGACGGGCTGGTCTGAGTATTTCAGAAACTGCTGATCTACTGGGATTTTCATGCACAACCATCTCTAGGGTTTACAGAGAATGGTCTGATAAAGAGAAAGTATCCAGTGATATTTTCTCCGGAGCACCCGGGGAAAACCCACGCAATCACGGGGAGAACATGCAAACTCCACACAGAAACTTCAACTGACCCAGTTAGGGCTCGAACCAGCTACCCACTGCGCCACTGCTCTGCCATATATATATATATATATATATATATATATATATATATATATATATATATATATATATATATATATATATATATATATATATATATATATAGTGTATGTATGTAAAAATATTTTTTTCTTTCTTTTTTAGGGGGATGCTAATGGTCTAATCTGATTCAGTTATCTATGCTAAGCTAAGCTAAAAGTGCTCCCACTAGACCTGGAACCAAGAAATTTTTCTCACGATGTTCTTCTGAAGAAAAAAAGTCATCTTGTTTGGTCTGAGGGTGAACAATTAAACAACTTATTTGAACTTTTAGAGGGAGATGCTAGTGGTCTAATCCGATTTAATGATTTATGCTTAGCTAAAATTGCTCCCGCCAGATCTGAAGATCAGCAGAACAGATTCAAAAATTGGTAAAACTCAACTGCTGGACTTTAGGAGAGTTCTTAAATGAGCCTATTTACAAAAACAACGTGTATTGTTCCTTTAGCACCTCAGTGTTTTCCACTGCACTCACCTGACAGGTTCCTTTGTTCGCTTTCCCCGCACAAATCATCTGAGGTGTGATTGTGGCGTTATTCACTGACTCGTACTCGGTGCTACACAGTGAGTTGGCCACAACTGGGATTTGCACTTGCTGAAGAGTCTGCGGGGCCGGCAAAGCTTCTGTCACACATGAAACACTGAGTGATTGTGTGTCACCGATACGTTTCAACCAAACAAGGAAACATTGCATAACTAAAGGGAGATTCATGCCGCCCTCATGCAAGTCTATCTGACCACAGCAGGGTGTGAGATCTTTTTTAACATGAAAAATAGGAACACAGTGTGGGCATGTGAGAAGAAACCAAACACTTAAATAGAAAATCTGTTTGAACTATTTTAAGTACTCAACTAGCGTTATATGAAGCTATTTTTTAAATAAATAAATATAATAACTATAAATTTCACCGTAATTACTATTATTCTGTCAGCATTTACACTCCTTTGACACATTTAGATACATTTAAAATGATTTTGTTTTGCTTTGTTTGGCCTTGTTTGAGAGGGGGTTACTTTATGGAATAATTATGTAACATTTATATTAAAGGATTATAATCAATGAAAACTCACGGTCTTTGCCGATGTTTCCCCAACCCGTGGCCCAGCAGGATGTGCCATTGTAAAAGATGCTGTTATTGGCTGCCAGGCAGATGGGACGAATATACTGACTGAAGTTCACCGGTTGACTCAGTTTCATCAAGGAGATGTCATTGTTGAGAAGTGAGTTGTTGAAGCTTGGATGGACGATGATGGACTGAAGGCCAACTTTGACTTCATTTGGGTTAGCCACAGACGTGCTCTGGGTTTGCCTCCCCAAGTACAGCGTCCAGACGTTGATGTTAGTACTGTTGTGATGGAGAATTGTAAAAGATTGTTTGGTTTAGACTAGAGAAAACACAGATCTATTTGAATATAAATTAAAGTGCCCCATTTTGCAATTACGCACCTACAATGATTAGTTCATACTTTTGCATTGTGTGATTTACGTGACCCAGTGTGCCTGTTTTGCGCATAGTCGTGTGTAACCCCACCGGTCCTACGCCACCCACCCCGCTCCGAGCTGAGATCGAACTGGCAACCTTTCGCATGGAAATCGGTTGTTCCACCAAGGAGGCTAAAGACCATGGCCTCTAGCATCTGTCGCTAGAGCACCTTCAGAGGTCAGAGGAGTGAGATTTTACCTGCACAGCACCTACTGGCTGGCCTCCATTACACATAATAAAACGGCTATTTGGGAAAATGTGCTCAGGTCTACATTTTTGAGAACCGAGAAATATGTGCTTGTGGGTAGATATGGCTGCAATGAACGCTATTGGGTTCTGCTTAGGGGCTTTCGGTTAGGGCTGGTAATGCTGATTGCTTGGACGACTTTTCCAGCATGACTCATTTGCTTCGTAGTTCACTATTAAAGGCTGATTTATACTTCTGCATCAAGCGCACGCGGATGCTCCGGCGCAGCCTACACGTGGACGCATAGCCCTCGCCAAGGCTGTCTCAAAAAATATAAGCGCAAGCTCTGTGATTGGTCAGTTGGTAGCGCTGACAAGTGTGGGCAGAGGTGAGAGCCATGCAACCCGGATGGAGCGAGTGTTTACAAGTGTGTAGTCTCATAAAGGAGCACCAAGATGGAAACTGATGTTTTGTGTTCACCCTATGGTTAAAGTTTTTGCACGTCCGCCGATTCCTGCCTCAAAATGAGTGAGTTTAAGCCTCTTGTACATTTAAGGTTACGTTCAGAAAAAATAAAACACCAGCGAAGAAACTTGACATAGAGTAACATAAACACCCACTGCCAGCTAGTGTTTCGAAAGTGTTATTGCACTGCAAATACAAACAGCGCGCACAAGTATAAATGCACGGCTTTGCTGATCACTCGACGCAGAAGTATAAACCAGGCTTTACACCACCAAACTTCATACATGGTGCTGAGCGGACATGAGTTCAAGTCTGGCGAAGGAGTCCATAAACCAGTTAAAACAAAACCCAAAAAGCAGCGTGTGGTTGTGGTAGAAGCACACAGCAGCAATGGCTTTTCTCTTTTAGTTTGTTTTTGAAAACACTATTGGTTGGGTTTAGGGAAGAGGGTGTATGGGTCAGTCAATATCAAGCTGATATAAACATGACAAGCCGACCGGAGTCTCTCACAGATGTGTTTGTTTTTTTCATGTTTTTTTTTCTATAGTTGTTTTATAGAAAAACTACAGCTTTAATGTTGTGGTTATAACAGCAATTCAATTCATCTTTATTTCTATAGCGCTTTTACAATGTAGATTGTGTCAAAGCAGCTTAACATAGAAGTGTAGTTTATTTATTTATATTAAACTAATTTCAAGAGGATCACGTGCTTATGATCAACACGGCTGGCACCTCATTAGCTCCATAATCTGCCCTATTAGATGGTTACGGAAGCAACATAAATAACCAGAGTTTTTAACTCCAGTTATCTCCAGTTACAACCCCCCTGTCTTCCACCCCGTCTTCCACCCCTTTGTTCCAATAGGGCAACACGGTCACCCAGTGGTTAGCACTGTTGCTACACTGAAAGATCACTGCTGGTCCAACCTCCTATCGGGCCGGTTGGCGTTTTTCTACGGAGTTTCCATGTACTCCCCGTGTTCGCGTGGGTTTCCCCCGGGTTTCCTCCCACCGTCCAAAAACATAAACCATAGCTAATAGACTAAACCAAATTATCACCCAAGATAACCTTGGTTCATAATTCTCACATGGCGACAAGCAGGGGAGTTCTCGAGACCTACCTGAGCTCGAACTCCTCTCTCGCCCTTCTAACGGGAGGGAACCCCGGGCTCGAAGATATTACGAGCTCAGGGGTCTCTCCCGGGACAGCATGCCAATTACGCTATATTGATTATCAGCTAAGTGTGAACTCCTGAAGTTCTAGTAAACTGAAATGGTGTCTGTTCAGTTATCAGAGTTGAATTTCAGTTTAGATCAGTGAAAAGTCCAAACACTGTAGAGTAAATCCATCGATGCGCAGCTCTACAAGTCCCAAACCAAGCAAGCCAGTGGCAACAGTGGCGAGGAACAAAACTTCACCAATTGATGAAAGCGAAGGAAAAAAATACTATAAAATGGATGTAAATCGCACTATTCGCGCGTAAATAGCCGCATGAACATTTGAGTTTACTCGCTTCATTCGTGCGTCAAACCTCGCTTCATTCGCGTGTCAAATTCACTTCAGAACAGACGCGGATTCGCGTGATGGGCAGGGCTTCTGTCTGCCCGAAGACTGTAGCTTCATAGCTAAAAGGCTAACATGAATTTTATGAAGAAAATAACAGTGTTTATGTGCTTTATGAAGACTGAAAAACAGCAACGAAACATTTAGGGTCGTGTCTGAGTCCACTACATCCTTTCAGAGGTGCATCCAGGTCTGTGAGCACATAAACTCCTCCAGAAACTGAACCTGGATGACGGAGGTTTTCAGCGGTGCTTCTGACCGAGCCAAGCCGAGCTTGATGAACTGTTGTCGGTGAAGGCTGGAGGATTTCCCTCGGAACACCGACAACAGGTTCTACGTCACAATCACACCCCCACAAGAGCAAGCTTCTGATTGGTTAACGCGGCGCGAATGTACGCTAAAGTTCAGATTTTCGAAATCGAGAGATTCCCGCGAAACGCTCGTTAAGCATGTCAAACGCGCAATTTGCCCCGCGCCATTTGCGCAATTTGCGTATCGCGCCGCAGGATGTCTATTCGCGCTTTGCATTGACTTAACATGTAAATCATTCGCGTTTGACGCGCGTGCCGCGTCTGGTGTGAACGCAGCATTAAAATAAAATCTGCCAAACGATGTAGTCCAGCGTACATATTTGTCAGTTCTAAAAATGTAGCTCTAGGCACATATCTCCAATGAGCATAAGTTGAATAATCATCTTACTATGAGTCATTCTATGAATCATGTCGACAGATATAAGTAGGTTTAATTATGTGAAACTTGTTTCCACTGGGCACGTTTTCAGCACTTAATCTTTGAAACTTTGCAAACATTTTGGATTTGCAAACAACTTATAAACTTATTACAACAACTTATTACAAACTACATGAAAGCTATCCAACAAAGCACAATGGGGCACTTTAGAATTTATGTTACTAAAATTGCAAAATCATAAATCAGTCCATCTTACTTGATGATGCAGTGAGCGGCCGTCATCACCCACTGGCTGTGGATCAGTGTTCCTCCACAGATGTGCCTGTTGTTGTAATGTATGCTGACCTGCCAGGGCCAGCTACCTGCAGGGGCATCGGTGCCACCCACAATACGTGTATTTAGAGGAGCCACCCCACATTCTGCAGTCAACAAATTATAGATTACAAATTAGGATTTCATGAATGCGGTTTAGAGCAGTTATCAAATCACATTATTATGATCATATACTGTATATGAGAAGTGCATATCAACAATCTAATTGGACACACTTTATTTTGATGGTCCGTTTGTTGAATATGAGTTACATTGCAACTATTTCTCATTAGATTATCAGTTAGGGTTGGGGTTTGGGTTAGGGTAAGCTGACATGTACTTCTTGACATGTTTCTTATAGTCAGTTAAATGTCTGTTGAATGTCTGTATCAGCAGATATTAAGCAGACAGTCTACTAATACTCAAATGGACCATCAAAATAAAGTGTTACCTTTTTTATTATTTTTTTAATAGCAAATGTATTCATTTAGCAATCATTTTAATAATATAGCAGACTACACTGCCTGACAAAAGTTTTGTTGTTGATCCCAGTTGTAAGAGCAACACAATAACTTGACTTTTATTTGATCATTTGTAATAGTGGCAGAAGGTAAATTTTCTTGATGAATCATCTGCTGATCTGCATCCCAATCATCACGAATACTGCAGAAGACCTACTGGAACCAGCATGGACCCAAGATTTCCACAGAAATCAGTCAGGTTTGGTGAAAGAAAAATCATGGTTTGGGGTTACATTCAGTATGGGGGCGTGCGAGAGATCTGCAGAGTGGATGGCAACATCAACAGCCTGAGGTATCAAGACATTTGTGCTGCCCATTACATCACAAACATCACTACAGGAGAGGGCAAATTCTCCAGCAGGATTGTGCTCCTTCTCATACTTCAGCCTCCACATCAAAGTTCCTGAAGGCAAAGAAGGTCGAGGTGCTCCAGGATTGGCCAGCCCAGTCACCAGACATAAACATTATTGAGCATGGCTGGGGTAAGATGGAGGAGGAGGCACTGAAGATGAAGCCAAAGAATCTTGATGAACTCTGGGAGTCCTGCATGAATGTTTTCTTTGGCATTCCAGATGATTTTATTAATCAGTGATTTGAGTCAGTGCAGAGATGTATGGATGCAGTCCTCCAAGCTCATGATGGAGTCAGACACAATATTCATTCTGTCTCCACTGCAGCAGGACTTTATATTCTATACTGGACATTATTTCTGTTCAGTAATGAAACATTAGTCTAAGCAAAGTCAGGCCTTACTGTCATAATTAAATAATTAAAAATCAAGCCATGATTATATTATATTTTGGTAAAATAAGTGTGATCTAGAGGCCTTTGCCTTTCATATAAGCCACTTCTGATATCAAATGATCAATTAGAAGTCAAGTTATTATCTGTCTTTCCTAAAACTTGGATAGGCACAAGACTTTTGTCAGGTAGTGTACAAACAAACACTGCAAATCTACCTTTTACTTTTTAAATGATCATAATTATTAATAATAAAAACACATTTAGACTTTTGTCCTAAGGCGTGCATCCCTAATACAAATTATAAGCATCCTGCCTCATCATAACTTTCATTTATGTTTTTGCTTCTCTTACCATATGTTGTCTGTGCGTTTGAGTCTGTGGAGAAAGAACAAACAATTTAAAAATTTCAAATATTTTTTTAGCTCAACAGCAAGACATAAAAAATAATCATAACTTTTGCATTTATTGCTCCTAAAGATTTTCTTACTGAAAACCGAGACAAAAGTAGTGATGAACTGAATAAAAGGATTTACCAGACATCACTGCAAATGCATTATAATTATCATCTTCAATGAAAACATACGCTTACAAAATATATAAATGAGATTATGCAAACAAACATATATGCATGATCAAACTCACCCTGCGTACTCAACATTATGACTACAGAGCTAAGCGAGAACACTAACAACCCCATGGCTGAAGTGAAATGGTGTGAAAGACAGGCGTCTAGCTCATTTAAACTTTCTTTAAGTCACTTGTCTGACGTGTCTTTCAAGATGAAAGTCGATAGTCTATCCAAGTATCCAAAACAGGTTCGACTTGTCTCATTCCTTCTTATAAATGAAGGTTTGGAAAATGACAGTGATGTCAGTTAAAAAAAAAACACACAAAAATAGAGCTCCGGCTGATTGGAAATGTCTGCCTCAGCCTGCATTTGGCAAAACAAATAACATTACATGGGTTTCATTGCACATTTCACATGACAAATCCACTAGAGGGCGCTGTTTACATTTTTGCAAATCTGAGGGCAGCAAGGTGGTTTAGTGGTTAGCGCTGTCGCCTCACAGCAAGAAGGCCACTGGTTTGAGCCTAGGCTGGGCCAGTTGGCATTTCTGTGTGGAGTTTGCATGTTCTCCCCATGTTGGCGTGGGTTTCCTCCGGGTGCTTCGGTTTCCCCCACAATCCACAGTCATCCGCTAAATGGGTAAACAAAATTGCCCGTAGTGTATGAGTGTGAATGTAGGAGTGTATGTTTCCAAGTGCTGGGTTGTGGTTGTAAGGACATCCGCTGCGTAAAACGTATACTGGAATAGTTGGCGGTTCAGTCCCATTGACAAATAAGGGACTAAGCTGAAGAAAAATGAACGATTGAATGAATTAAATGCAGTATTTAGGGGATGTTTTGCTGCACATTTCAAATAAATGTCAGAAGTTGATGCTTGTCATACAGCGAACCACTGACCTAATGACCAAAACAATTTTCAAAACAATGTAAGAGAAATGTGCACCACAACCAAGTAGTTTTACCTTGATTTTACATTACTTTTTATCGCATTTGTGGAAGCGTGCTTTACCAGACTCGAACCTGAGCAGCACAACAACAACACAGAAAAGGTGAAATGTAAAATAGCAAGAACCTGAGAACTAAATAAATCAATAGCTTTTCAGTAAACTTAGGCCGTACTCACATTAGGTACAGTTGCCTCGAACCGGGCCAAAGCACGCTTGTCCCCCCTCCTGTCTCCCCCGACGGCCCGCACTCACGTCATCGCTGCTGCGCTGTTCAGTGAGAAGCTCTCTCTCACTCAGCAGCACAGTGGAGATTTATATCTACTAGTTATATCGTTTCAGTCGTTTGATATGCAGTGACATGCAGTCAAATATTTCGCCAAACAGTCCTTAGGGATGCAGGGACACGCAGTCAGATATTTCACAGAACAGATCCGCCACTTTTGGCGCTCAAAAACAATCATAATGCCCTCGTGCTGCAGGAATGAGGAGTTCTGCTGAAGGCACGCAGCTGTCGTGCAGTGAGAGGTTTGCGTCTTTAATAAACTACGGCAGTTCACTGAACAGTAAGAATGATTAATAAATCTATATGAAACAGCCCCTTAAAAGTCACGTCTTGCTTTCAGTTTCGGGCTTTGGCACGTTTTGCACTCACACACAAGCGTACCGCGCCAAAGCCCAAGTGAATGGCGCTCAGGCACACCTCTTCCAACCGCCGGCCGGCCAAGTGAACCGTGCTTAAGCCCGATTCAGCGCACTCACACTTCTCAAACAATCCGGGGAAACAGGCCTGGGCACGGTACAGATGGCATAGTGTGAGTAGGCCCTTATAGGCTTATATACAGTAATTTATATTTTTAAAATGATTAGTGATTGCTAAAAAGTTCCTCCATGTCGTTATCATTCTAACTCTGATTTGGACTCTGCAGTTCTTTTAACATAAGGGTTGATTTAAATCAGACATGATTTTTATTTTGCGAATAAAACACTTCAGAGCTTGACGTTTAAATTCAAAATGTTCTTTGTTTCACCCTTGTATCTCTTAAAACATAAAATTGCATTTATTTGCAGACAAAAAATTACATTTTGCTGCTTTTTACCAGAACACAGGCTGGATTGGATGGCTGTTTGGAAGCTGGTTTGGATAGTTACTGAAAGGGATAACCAGTCACACCGGGAAGCTGTGTATTGTTCGTAAAGTTTGTTCATTAAATGTCTGATTGACACACGACTGCTTTTATAGCAATCACAAAGGAGTGATTTTGCAGAACAATAGGCATGACTAATGTCATGCTGTAGCGTCATTCCTTCAAGTGCTTGCTAAATCACATACTGAAGCATCCAGACACCACTCATTTATCTTGCAGACGCTTTTAAGAAGAAATTCCAAGTCAATAGACCAAAACAATACATTTAGAGCTGCCGCTTTTAGAGATAACAAAGCGTGTCATTCAAGCATGTTGTATATTTCCAAATTCATCTTACGCGTGTGTTTATTACTGGATCTAAATATATCTGTAGGTGCTGCCAAGGCAGTGGAGAATAGCTGAGGTTGTTTATCTGGTTTGTAGCAACCTTTAGGAACAGAAGATTATTACCTTTGTACGTGTCATTAGAGGGCGAAAGCCCCACCCATTAATCTTGTTTTTGAATCTGCCACTATGCTGACACACATGTTCTATAGCTCCGCCCTTTTTTGAAAAGAGCACACTCTCATTTAATTTTAAAGCAATAGTCACTAAAACATCACAATTTCGATCAAACCCTTAAAGGGTCAGTTTCAAAGAGTTGTAAAACATAGTTTTGGTGGTATTTTGAGCTCAAACATTTCACACACACACTCATGTGACATCAAAGACTCCTTTTACATCTTGCATAAAGGGGCATAATACAATAGTTTCCCTTTAAATAGGAAATATGAGATTTTTCTTTATAATATTTTACTCTAAATAACAAAAAAACTCAAACACTAGGTGGCAGTAAATATCTTATAATTCATGCAAGTCACTGAGGTTATAGCAGGCGTGTCCAAACTCAGTCTTGGAGGGCCTAGTACAAGGGTGCTCAATCATGTTCATGGAGATCTACCCTCCTGCAGATTTCAGTTGCTACCCATATCAAACACACCTGAACCAATTAATAAGGACCTGAACACCACTTGATAATTACAGGCAGGTGTGTTTGATATGGGTAGCAACTGAAATCTGCAGGAAGGTATATCTCCAGGAACAGGATTGCTCACCCATGGCCTAGTAAGAGCTTGATTAGCTAGCGCAGGTGTGCCTGATTGGGGTTGGAACTAAACTTTGCAGGACACCGGCCCTCCAGGACCGAGTTTGGGCACCCCTGGGTTATAATCTATAAATTTGTGATATATTGCAGAATAAAATGTATTATATCTTTTCAAACTAACTTTAGCATTGTTATTTAATTTAGTTAATGGGATAGTTCACCCAGAATTTAATATATGTTAACCCAACAGCAAGCCTAGTCAATTATTCTTTTTTATTATTGATATTGTACTGTTTTTGTTAAATATCTTATGAATGTTAAATAAAACCAAATATTACAAAAAAAATTATATATATACCCTCAATTACTTCCAAATTTTTACGAGTTTTTTATTGTGCTGAACACAGAAGAAGATATTTTGAAGAACGTTAAAAATGGGTAACCACTGATGTCAATAGTAGGAAAAGCGAATATACACAAGTCGATGGTTACAGGTTTCCAACATTCTTCAAAATATCTGTTCAAAACAAAACAAAAAAAAAAGATTTGTCAAGTGAAGCAAATGACATTATTTAAGGGTAATTAATAAACAAGCACATTTAATATGTATATTTTAAATACTTGTAAATAATTTTATAAAAAATAAATTCACTTTTAATTAAATGACAGCCATATCTGTTGATTATTACGTTTTTTTTTGTTTTTTTTTTACAACTTCTGTTGTCTTTGAAAGTTTATTTACGTCATATATATTAATGCAAACCCATATTTACAAAATATACACTATTTGCCTTCCTGTAGTAGTCCTGTAATAATAGAGCAACAGCAATAGAAATGGCAAGATTTTGGGTTCGAGTCCCATGCAGGGAAAAAAGCTAGAACTGATCAAATGTAAACCTTTCCTGCAAGTTGCTTTGCATAAAAGTGTCTTCTTAATGCTTCAATGTGGTTGTTTACAACTGTTTTTAGCACCACTGTACATTTCTATTGGTCATATAAGTTTGTTTTAATGATGTTAACAATCTCCATTATATTATAGAGCACTAACACACAACTGTGTTAAAAGGAGCTGTGAATGTCTAACAGTGGAGCCTTTATCCTCATCTGAGGGGCCCTTGTGTTCTTTATTTTCTCTCTCTTTCTTTTCCTCTGTCACTGTAAATCTTCGTTTTTTACTCCTTTTCTTTGCACTCTGTATCTCTTCCACAACTCATCCATTCTTAATTCACCTTTCTAATCCCAATTTAACCCTCTTGTTTACTTGAAGATCCAGCTGGGAGATCTCACAACTAAACTCCAGAGAGAAAACAGATGCAGAATTCGAATGATTATTATTTTAAATGCTGTTGAAGTCAAAATGATTATAATAAAATTCTGATTCTTTTTTTAATTTTTCTTAAGTGCCATTTAATATGATTTTTTTTTTAATGACAACAGACGTGAGAGTCCAAACGCAGTTTATTCGCAGCTTAATCAGACAGGCAATGGTCAAACAGGAATAAACAATATCATGAGAGACATCCAATAGAGTAGTTGTGGTCACAGGCAGATGTCGGTGCAGACGACGAACAAGATAAACAAAGAAGCAAGGCAAGGAACACTTAAGCGGATCACACACTGGATGCGATGCTCAGCGCTGCAACACTGCACTCACATAACAGTTGGAAGTATCGCACACCCCTAATCCCAACCAATAGTGTTTTCAAAAGCACTGATTGACCTGCCCACTCACTTCCCAAACCCAACTGACAATTTTAAAAAAAAGCAATCCAAAAAAAAAGTCCTCGTAGCAGCCTGATTTTTTTTACCACGTTTGCCGATTTTACCACATTCTCACTCTGTTATTTACTTGTTTATTTTTCTCTTTAGGCTTTTGTTGTTGTCTTACCTGCTATCTGGAACTGTTCTTTGCCAGACTCGAACCCCATTGTCATAGTCAAATCCTCTCTGCGTCTCAAGCCTGCTTACATTCGCAGCAAGCCACTGGACAAACTGGTAACAGCGGGAAAGCCGTCCATATGGAGGTAAGTGCAAAAAGGAACGGCGTCATATCGCCCCGTAGCATTCATTTTAAAGGTGAAATGCAGCCATACCAACCTCTGGCTACATACTGTAATTTGCGATCTCCTAAAATTAATATAGGGCTACGTTTTTAAAATGAGCCTGTGTTGAAGAAAATGCTTTGCAATGTAACAACACTCGGCAAAGTGTGTGTGTGTGTGTGTGTGTGTGTGTGTGTGTGTGTGTGTGTGTGTGTGTGTGTGTGTGTGTGTGTGTGTGTGTGTGTGTGTGTGTGTGTGTGTGTGTGTGTGCGTGTGTGTGTGTGTGTGAGGTGAATATATAGTCATGTAATCTGTCTATGATGTTTCAAGCTGTGTTTGTGCAATCAGGAAAGAAAACAAGAACTGGTGTGTGTGTGAGGTGCATGATGGTAGTTGAAGTGACATGATGGTAGCAGCTCCGTGACAGATTTGTAGTTCTCCAGCAATCTGCAACTCCTAAATTGCTGGTGATTGTGACAATAATATTTTCTAGTACACTACTATGCTACTACAATTACTATAGTATATTATAACTACTCTAATTTTACTGTTATAATACTTGTATTCAGCTTAAGGTGCATTTTAACAGCTTAATTAAGAAAATTATGTTAACTAGGCAAGTCATTGGATAACAGGGGTTTGTTCTGTAGCCAATCAACAAAAATGTACTAATAAACCGTAAAAAATATATTTAGTAAAATAAAAGCTGCTTTTATTTCACCAAACAAAAAAAATAAGACTTTCTCCAAAAGAAAGAAATATAATAGGAAATACTGAAATAAAATTATCTTGCTTTGTTAACAAAACTTGATAAATAATTTAAAAGAAAATCACAATTTCACAAAAATATTGCTAATATTGTCTTTACATAAAATAAATCGCACTTTAAAACATGAATAGCCAATGAGAAATGCGTTATTTGCACTGATAGCCGACATTGTGATCTCCACCGTGATATCCATATTTATCTAATCTTTGGCTTCGTGCTTGGAGATAAGCTTTGATAGAGCACTGATTTCACTGAACACAAATGACGGTATCCTCAAATATACACCTGACCCTCGAGTGTGAACTCCAGTCATGGACAATAATACTCTGATCCACTAATAAAGCTGCTTTACTGTGTGGTCAGAGCTATAAATATTGCATAGCGCAACCTTTTAAAACTCTTTATTAAGTTAATGTTTGACCACAGGTGGAGACACACAGAGAGAGAGCCGTCCTCCTATTATGGAAGCATTTGCGGAAGTATGTAAGTTACTTCAAAAAAGAATTATGTCTATAAAATGTATTTAAATTACTTTTAAATTTACCACAGAAAAGCCTTGGCTGGGTCAGTTGGCGTTTCTATGTGGAGTTTGCATGTTCTCCCCGTGTATGTCTGGGTTTCCTCCAGGTGCTCCGGTTTCCCCCACAAGTCCAAAGACATGTGGTTCAGGTGAATTGAGTAAGCTAAATTGTATGTATGGGTGTGTATGGATGTTTCCCAGAGATGGGTTGCAGCTGGAAGGGCATCCGCTGCGTAAAACATGTGCTGGATAAGTTGACGGTTCATTCCGCTGTGGCGACCCCAGATTAATAAAGAGACTAAGCAGAAAAGAAAATGAATGAATGAATGAACTACAGTATGTCTGATGGAATTAGTCCCTTATTTATCAGGGGTCTCCACAGCAGAATGAACTGCCAACTTAATTGTTTTCTCAAATTAAGCCTAATAATTGCACTGGTTTGCTTTAAAAAAAAAATGAAATTTAACTCTTGATTTTATGAGCAAAATCTTCTCAATATTTTAAAACAAATTCAAAATATATATTTTTTAAATTAAATAAGAACATTATTTTTAATGACCACATCAAATTTTTTTATGAAAATTACAAGCCTCAAGATTCTTTTTTTTACAGTGTAAGCCAAGGAAACATTAATGAATGAATGATTTGGGGGGTTAATTATTATTGCTTACAAAATTCTGCACAGAAATAGCAAAAAAAATAAAATTATATATATATATATATATATATATATATATATATATATATATATATATATATATATATATATATATATATATATCCACAGATTCTGTCTGGCCCTCCTTATAATATACTTTTTAACCTACTTTTATTTAACGTTTACAATGTAAATCTTTCTAGATGCACTCTTTGGTAAACAAATATGATAAATCTACTAAAAGGTAGAACATATTACCAACTGCATTGTATATAAATTATGTAAACATTTGCATATTAGTCATTAATATGACTGAAATTAAAATAAAAAGGTGTATACATACAGTTGAAGTCTAGGTTAATCAGTTTAACTAGGCAAGTTGGGGTAATTAGGCAAGTTATTAATGATGGTTTGTTCTGTAGACTATTGAAAAAAAAATCTATAGCTTAAAGGGGCTAATAATTTTAACCTTAATGTTTTTTTCAAAAAATTAAAAACTGCTTTTATTCTAGCCGAAATAAAACAAACAAGACTTTCTCCAGAAGAAAAAATATTATCAGACATACTGTGAAAATTTCCTTGCTCTGTTAAACATCATTTGGCAAATATTAAAATAAATAAATAAATAAACAAATAAACCTCAACTGTATAAATAAATAAATAAATAAATAAATAAATAAATAAATAAATAGACTCGATAGGCTAAAGCTGCACATACACATTCTAACTGCAAGTAGATAGATATTATTTTATTTATTATTATTTTCTTTCAGTGGTTAACTGATTTAATTACAGTAAACACTTACTTGATAAGTCATTACACCAAACACTGCATGGAAGTACAGTTATTTTTACAGAGACTCAAGACCGCTGGTGATCCCCAAATTGAGTTGGGTCACTATACAGCATGAATGTAAAGTAGTCCAGAACACTGGATGGAGGCCAGATTGAATTTTAAGTGACCACTGTCCTAAATGTGTCTTTGAACATCTCTCTCTCTCTTCCTCACTTAGTAGCCCATGTTTACCCTCTTCACACCATTTAACTTTCTCTCTCTCTCTCTCTCTCTCTCTCTCTCTCTCTCTCTCTCTCTCTCTCTCTCTCTCTCTCTCCTCTCAGTGGTCAAACTCAATGACTGCATTGAACAGTAGATATAAAGTTTATACACCCACTTTTTTTTTTTTTTACGAGCGTTCAGCATCTTTTCCTTTCAGCCCGCTTGATCCCCGCCTACTGTCCCCTGCCCCTATATAAGTGTGTTTTTCAGGACGCAATACAAAGAGCAAGAAGCAATGAAAGAAAGAAACAGAGCAATGATAAGGAGTACATTCAGGCTCCAGTAAATCGCCATGAAGTTTAAAGTCCTGTCCTATTTATGGTTGCTGGGCCTAATAAAGGCAGGTGAGTACATGTCCACTACAAAAACAACACGCTTTTCTGTAATGCAAGTGCTAGACTTATAGATTTGCAATATTATATTTGAATCGAAAGCTGTTTGAATGTGAATATCAGTATTGGATTATAATAATTCAGTGTAATTCAAAGCGAGTGCTGGAAAATGCATTTAAATGCTGTTGATATAATGAAGTATACTTAAAGTAAATAAATGACATTATAAGATGGTATAGAAGAGTTAGATATATTTTTTAATATGTAATTTTTTTTATGTAAAAGCTCTTTTTAATATGCTCCTGAATTATTTATTAATGCATTTTATTTTATAATATCAATATTTTTTTATATTAAAAAAATATTGATTGATTTCCATTAATTTTTCATGATTAGCAAACTCTATATATATATATATATATATATATATAATGTGTTATTGTTATTGTCTATATAACTGTGTGAATCATATTTTCATCCAGAAATGTGTGTATCCTCATCACAGGTTGAGTGTTTAAAATACACAAGGGTAAAATATGGACAAATCCTAAAGATTTAAATTAAATAATTTTAATGAATTATCCAAAATTTGTTCCATATTTAACACACATTTGGGAAACCCAAGTTCTTTGCAAACAGAGACTCACATTTTAATCATAAATACAAAGGAAAACTCTGAAAAAGTAAGACATTTCTTTGGTTTTGTGAGATTACTCTTGTGTTTTCTAGTCATGAGAATAACTCTGTCATGAGTGCACCGTAATACAGCTTATTTTAAAACAGCTGTGTGTCTGGATTTTGTGATTCATTAGTGTTTCATGTTTGTTTGTGGTTATGAATTGCATTGTGGGACATTGACTTTTTATGTTGGAAATTTAACTCTGCAGTTTAACAAAGTAAATTTCATTTACATTTCAGTAGTTTTAAACAATATTTTGAAATGATATATACAGTTGAAGTCAGAATTATTCGCCCCCCTTTTATTTATTTTCTCTCTTTTTTAAATATTTCCCAAATGATGTTTAACAAAGCAAGGAAATTTTCACAGTATGTCTGATAATATTTTTTCTACTTAGGAAAGTCTTATTCCGTTTATTTCAGTTAGAATGAAAGCAGTTTTTAATTTTTTAAACACCATTTTAAGGTCAAAATTATTAGCCCCTTTCAGCTAATTTTTTTTCGATAGTCTACAAAAGAAACCATCATTATACAATAACTTGCCTAATTACCCTAACCTAATTAACCTAGTTTCCCAGAGATGGGTTGCGGCTGGAAGGGCATCCGCTGCTTAAAAAACTTGCTGGATAAGTTGGCGGTTCATTCCGCTGTGGCGACCCCGGATTAATAAAGGGACTAAGCCGACAAGAAAATGAATGAATGAATTAACCTAGTTAAGCCCTTAAATGTCACTTGAAGCTGTATTGAAGTGTCTTGATAAATATCTAGCCAAATATTATTTACTGTCATCATAGCAAAGATAAAATAAATCAGCTATTAGAAATTATGATAATAATTCTGACTTCAACTGTATTAAGACTGAGAGAAATAAGTCTGTAAAATAGCAGTGCACTGTAAAACCCAAAAAGTTAAGGTAACTCAAACAGTTTGAGGAAACTGATTGCAACAAAGCATTTTAGTTCAAAAACTAATCCTAATGAGTATTGTGAATTCAATTGATTTGAGTAAACGATGCAATTTGAGCGCATTAAACCCCGATAAATCTAAAGAACTCAAACCAGAGTACTGTAAAACCCAATAAGGTAAGTTAACTTAAACCATTTGAGAAAAAAAATATATATATACAAACTTTAGTATACTTTATTAACTTCCTCCATTTAAGTTGAAGCAATGAGGTATTTAAATAACTCTCTACCTTCTCTAACACTGAGTTCAAAACTCTTTTCAAATTAGCAGAATTAACTTTCAGTCAATTTTGAGTTAACTACACTCTGTTCAATTGATAAAGTTGACTGCTTGGTTTTACAGTGTAGTAGTACTGGCTGCTTATTATCAGGTTTTTGTACAGTAATTTACAACACCAATCCAGACAATATATCACTTTAAACTATTAAAATGTCAATAACGTCAGTATTTCAAACTTTTCAACATCAAGGGTTGTTGTTGGAAAGATCAAGGTCCCATAATGCAGTTCAAGAGCATAAATAAACAGAAAAATGATAATACACTACCTGACAAGTCTTGTCGCCTATCCAGGTTTAAAGAACAGCAGATAATAACTTGACTTCTAATTGATCATTTGGTATCAGAAGTGGCTTATGAAAGGCAAAGGCCTCTAGATTACGCTGATTTTACCAAAATAAAACATGATCATGCCTTGATTTTTACTGATTTAATTAGGACGGTAAGGTCTGACTTTGCTTAGACAAAAGTCTTGTCACTGAACAGAAATAATGTCCAGTATAGAATATAAAGTCCTGCTGCAGTGGAAACAGAATGAATATTGTGTCTGATTCCATCATGAGCTTAGAGGACTGCATCCATACATCTCTGCTTGACTCAAATCACTCCTGTTTCTCCCAGAGTTCATCAAGATCCTTTAGATTCATCTTCACGCCTCTGTCTTATCCCAGACATGCTCAATAATGTTCATGTCTGGAGACTGGGCTGGCCAATCCTGGAGCACCTTGACCTTCTTTGCTTTCAGGAACTTTGATGTGGAGGCTGAAGTATGAGGAGCGCTATCCTTCACAAATGTATTGATACCTCAGGCTGTTGATGTTGCCATCCACTCTGCAGATCTCTCACACGCCCCCATTTCTTCCGTAGGTTTTCCTTAATCAGGTGCATCTAAATTCAGCTTTCGAGAGATCCTGCAAATTAAAAGTCTGCATGAATCTGAAGCTGTGACCATTTTTTTCCATGTTGTGCCACAGTTCCTAGAGAAACAGAATATTAAATGAAAAAAAAAAAAACAGTGGGTGTAGCTTGCTGTTTCTACTGCGAGCTGATTGGTTGTTGTAAACAGGCCCGGATTGGCTAATCGGGAGAACTGGGAGAATTCCCGGTGGGCCGGTCCGTTTTTTGGCCACGAGGGCCGGTGTCCCTAGCTGCTTGCACTCTCAGCAGTTGCATTTTTATTTCATTTATTTATTTATTTGACCATAGCCTCACTCTTTTTATTCATTATTTTGCCGCAGCTCCACTCTTTTTATTTCATCAGATTAATAGCGCCACTGTGGTCCAGTGGTTAGCATGTTTAATTATGACACGGCCGACCCGTGTTCGAACATCATCTGAAAAATTAATATTTTTTTTTCTTCTATTTTTTATTGTTAAGACATAGATTGTTAGGGTTGTTGAAAATTGTAGTTCTAAAGCAGCTGTTTTCTTGAAAAAAGACGTGACAGTGTCCTTAGAAACTGAATTGGAAATGACCTTATTTAAAAAGTCGTGAACTGAGATGGGCCGGTCTAAGGCTTGAAACTCCAGGGCTGAAAAGGAGTCCCACTCCGGCTCTGGTTGTAAAGTAGGCATTTCATTCAGAAAGATGTGGGAAAGGGTTTGGGGAGAGTTATTCCAACCTTACAGACTCCTCCTGCTCACCATTTCTGTTTGCTGTCAAAATTGACAGCTGGAGGGGCGTGGTTAAATATGTTAGCCCCACCCAAACAAACACAAAGTGCAT